TTACTATCTCCCCCAGCCTTGGCAGTGGAGGCAAATCTACTTCACAATCTTATGCTGCTTTGGCATACAGCTGCGAAAAAGAAATAAGAGAAGAAATAAGAGCTGAAAGTAACAGTATCCAGGCTTTTTTTCTGAGCATGAGTATGTATTTTCTGGTGTGGAACAGATAAAAACTCATCCATTTGAACCTTTGATCTCTCTTTGAGGAGATAAATTGAGGAGTATTTGCTTTATTATTCACCCACATAGAGCATCTCATATTATTGGGTTATTTTTGGGCTGAGTGACTTTTGTAATTTAAAAAAGAAAAAAATACAGCAAATCAAAACATACAATAATTATGCATGGTATGGATTTTTACAAACAGCTTTGAGTCCCAAGGTGAACGCGTATACACACACTTACAAACACACATCCACTGAAAACAATCAAGCATTGTTGGCATATTTTCCTTTTCAATTACACAGCTGTCTCAAAATTCTGTCTCAGCAGCTCCATCATGCACTCCACTGCCCCATACCTGCAGGATATGTGTGTGTGCGGAGGGGATGTTTAAGTGAAGTGCTATAGAAGCAAGGAGAGAAAAGAGATGTGTGTGTGCATGACTGTAAGAGAGTGAGAGAGGGAGAGATGAAAACGAGGAAGCGAGGAAGGGCTGAGTGAAAGGGATGGACTATATATGGCCCGTCTCTGCACCTCTTTCAACCTGCTCAGTGAGCCATGTGCTCGGCCTTGTAAACTGCAGTGCTACTTGATTACTTTGTCAGTCTCCTAAAGTGGCTTTTGCTCTGTTGAGAAAGTAGAGGAGACACGTCCGACAGAGGATGTCCAACAGAGAGAAGCCAGAAGTGCAGGGAGGAGGTGAGAGGAGACACTGCATCCAAATGAAGGGAAAATTATATTCTGCTGTCTTGTGAGTGAATAATAGCGTATCATCATCCACGTCAAGTTTTTCAAACCAAACAACCAGAACCTCAGTATCATCATGCAGCACTTCTGTGAGGGGGCCCATCTTCCCTCTGCTGTGTACGTAGTTAAAAACTATTCTGGTCATCCTCACATCTCTTTAAGGAGACCTGTGGGACCGGACACAATTAATTCCTCATTTCAAATTCCCAGTCCAGTTCTTTGGATACAATTCAAGTAATTATGAAAGACATTTCAAACACACTACTCCTGAGGTACCTTTCAAGGAGAGGGGAAGGATATGGACGGTCAACTTCATGAAAAATGGTGATGATACATCATTTTATCCCAGCACTTTCAAGGCAAACATAAAATGAAAATGGAACATATTTTGCATGGATGATTTGATCTACACGTTTCAAAGTTTTTGTTTGGTGTCATGTTCCTCCAACACTGAAGGTGAATCCAGTTAGACAGCGCCATCCCTTGGCAACATTAGGTACTTATGTATTTGTACAATCCATCCCCATCTGCCAAACGTCTGCTCACTGCTTATGCCTTCTGCTCACCAAAATGCTAAAGTTTATAATGAATTCCTATTGGCACAACAAAATACATGCAGCATAAATATCTTCAGGGCCTGCTGTGGAAAAATAAAAACTATTGACAGTTGTGAAAAACAAGCAATGGTCTTCGATTAAGATGCTGCACCACTAATACAAATGTGATGGGAGGATTCACTTGATAACAAGGATAAATAAGGTTACGCTCTAAATTCACTGAGAGAGTCAATGTTAATTATTTTAATGAATGGGGTAGTTGCTATACCCTCAGGGGTCCTAGAGGGTGTCAGGCTGTAACCAGAAAAATGGGGAATAGAAAAATGGGGAATAGTTAATTTTCACCATTAAATTCACCACAGACGTGAGCCTAATGTGAATAAGAGACATAAGAGTGACTTTTCTGGGGGTTCCAAATGGGGGTCCATGAATGTCTATCAATCTAGGGGTCCTTGACATGAAAAGGGTTAAGAACTGCTGATTTAATCCTCTTCAAATCTTTTCTTTTTCACTCGAGGACTTGTTTTGTCTGTTTGCTTCAGGAACAGATTGTACATCATTCTCAACCAAAAGATGACTGCAGTTTTAAAATTCATAATATGTATTCAGGCATAGTTTCCTCTCAAGTGCATTGCATGCTTTTTCTTTTCAAATGGCAACCTAATGTTTCAAGGTTTTATGCTGTACATTAGATTCACTGAATAGCCATTCATAACTGCAAATACCAAACCCAAATAATTTGTCTATCCAGACTGAATAGAAGTTGAAGAGGAGAGCATGCGAGTGTATTGATCTCGCTGCATAGCCCACTTAAATTCCTTTTGCTATTTGATATTGATGGATAAGGCGACTGTGGACATTTGTGAGGGCAGATCAGACAGCGCTTTGTGCTGTTTGTGGTCGCTGTGCGCATGAAAGAGATGACATGTTTGCTATCCAGACATCTTGGCCAAACAATACTTGAAGAACAAGCCCTCTCCATGATCAAAGTGCTGTTGGCAGTTGTCATGTGGGTTTTAGTGGCAGCTCTCAGTGTGTGAACACCTGTTGGTCTCCTGCCTCAAGGGTGCATGCTGGTCCTTTGAGGCTTTAGTGGTGGATTTAGAATTTCTCCTACTTACAACTTTTGAACTTTTGCATCAGCTGAAGATGTTGGTTGTCTGTCCAAGGCTGGTCAGATCTGCGTTAGTGGCTAAAAACTCCAAGTAGAAAGAGAGAATTTGAATAGCATACATAAAGAATCTAGTCTTGTACTTCTGTGCAGTGTGGTGGAAAACCCCAAGCCAGCGATGCTGCTGTTTTTGACGGACAAGAACATGATGAGCCGTGTCAGCTCTGCACCAGTGAAGCATGGCCGAGCACAGAGGCCAGTGACAGGGGCCGGGCAGGCAATCAAATAAGACACAGTATTGGCAAAAGAAAGAGTTATAATATTGCTGCTGTTTCAAAACTCACTCCTGAATTAGATATTGATTAAATAAGTAACTGTTGTTTCCATGAAAGCGAATGCAGATAATTCTGACAGCACAGAAATAGGGTTTAGTGGAGCATTAAAGAGTCTCTCTAAAGACGAACATAAAGATTGAACCCTATGACGGCAGTTAATGTATATTGTGCATTACACACTCACATCATCAGCAAAGCTTTAGTCGCCGTGGACAATCAGAGGGTTGGATAGTTACAGATTATTTGAACCAGCAAGGTGTATTCTGATGTAGTACCTAAGAAATGTAGTGTTTTTGCAGGAACTGTAGGGATGTTATGGCAATTTTTTGAATTTTAAGTAGAAATCACATTTTACACTTCAAATATGATTATCTGAAAGGTTTTTAGACCAAAGGAAGATCAGCCCCATCCTATCCTTTTAAGAGCCATGCAGGCAGCTTTGTGCCAGACAGGGAGATGTCTGAAAATAAACTGCAGGTTAGGATTTTTGTCGCTCTAAATAGTAACAGGGACATTACAGCAGTCATCAGCAAGCATCTGAAAACTGGATGTCATGCTATGGCTGTACAAGTGGGGTATGCAGTAGCTAACTGCATGGTGACATGATGAATATACTGGAATTAACTGTGGGTATGTTTGTAGTACCAGCTCCAAAAACCAATCCAAACAAAGACTTTTCACGCTAACCTGAACTCTTGTGTATAGACAGCCTCGAGCTAAGTAAGCCCCAGGTTATGTATTCACAGCTGGATATCAGAATATCAGAATATTTTACGCTCTCGACTTGGTCACACAGTAGCCACATCACAATCATTTGAAGGGTAGTGAACATATTAGTCTGTTCTAACTTCATTTCACAGCAGTTATTTTTAACCTTGATCTTTTTAACCTTGGAAAGTCAGGGATAACCCTGCTCTGAAGCAGGGTAAAGCCCTGGGCTAACAGTGAGGATATCCTGCAATTGAAGGTTTTGAGTGTGAAATGACTGTAAGCTCAGGGCTAACAGAGCTGTAAGCCCTGGGCTAACGGAGGCCTCAGCCAAAGGTTAAATATAGAGTGAAAAGTCCTTATGATGTTGTGGTGTCTTTATCCATAGGCTATATGATTGCAGGTGGTGAAAACAAAACAGTTCTGCTCTAACTATGAAGGGAAACCTCACATGGTACTGGACTGAAACACCACTGTGCATACTAAGTTACTGCATAAATGTTACAAAATACATTTGTTATTAGACACCATTTTACTTTAAGTGCATTGCCTCTTTTTACTTCTGAAATTGCAACATTTGTTCCACTGACACAAGACATTACCATTTAAGAGCCACAATTCAGGCAAACAAATAAAAAGATTGAAGCTGTGCAGGCTGGAGTGAAGCATTTAAGTGTATGCATCAGAGCTACAAAGCTTTGAATAAAATGAGGTAGAGAGGCTATTGGAGGCTACTGACGGAGCTGAAATAAGTTTCTACTCCTAGAAAAACTCAATTGCTTTACATTTAGGCTACTTGTACACTCATAGCCTGCCTCCACCTCCACATATATAGTGAAACCTCATACATTTTATGGAGAAATCATTAGAATTCTAATCCACATGTTGCAGTCTGACATTAAAGAACCTTGACATTAACTTTAGTGTTGAGGTGGCTGAAGAGAGATGTTCTGGTGCATGACCTTGAAAATTAAAACTGATATTCTGCATAACATAATGCATATTTTCAGTCAATAAGTTTAGTAAGTTAAGTTTTTAGGTGTCATTGTTTACTGAAAAATCTGTATTATGTGCTTGATCTTCTGCCTTTACTTAATAATGTAGTTTACTGACTAGGTCTATAAGAAATATTGTGGAAAAATACAACTTGCATTGACTATGCTGTTATTTGACTGGGTATATGTGGATGTGTTAAAATGTAATATGTGCAGGCGAGCACACTAATACGTGTGATTTTTTTAAAGATAAGTTACAGGGTTTTAATTGCAAATGCTGTTTTTTTTCACGACAAAATGCCAACAATGCTTTTATTGTGGAAGCAAGGGCGAAGCGGAAGTGACATAATTCTTGGTGGGCGGGACTACCTCTTTGTAACTTCCACCAATCGCATACAAGCTTGGTAAAATATGAAAATGGCGGCTCTCTGTAGTGAGTTTGGAGACCTGATGCTAATCAAGAAACAGCTAATATCGGTGATATCGCTTTGTAAAGAAAGAGGACTTTTACACAGCGCGAAATGGTGAGACTGACTGTGACTAATGTGCCGTTACCTGTCTGTCTTTCTGCTGTGTTACCTTACAGACTAAGCGTTACCGCCAGTTATCATTTAGCTAACGTTACGTTAGCAGGGCTTTTGACAAGTCTCATTTGCGTTAGGTTGCAACAATTAAGCTAAAATGGATTAAAACTATTAACACTAACGTTACTATTAATGATACATTTCAGTTAAGAGCGTTGTTGATTACTTATGTTGAAAATTAAATACGGCTGTAATAAAGTGTATAAACGCTACACGATGTGCAACAATATTTTTCCTTTACCATTTACGTCGTTAAGCTAATTGTTGTCGATTAATAGATGTAACTGTAAAGTTACTGGACAAAATTACTTTGTGCTTGCTGCAAGGAGAAATCTGGTGTGATTAAATGACTGTAATCAATGACACAGTTGTCACATGCTTGCTGTGTTTACATTTTAGGGCTTCTGAGTTGGCATTTGCTTTGGAGCCTCTTCCCAAAGATGAATTACCCCCATCGCCTCCTTTTACTGAGGTTTGTACTGTGCACTGCCAGCATCGACTCAGTTTCCATGTCATTTTTAAATTTCTACCATCCAGTTTCCCTCAGGTCCCCTTTGACGTAGCTTGAGGGTTTAAATTAATCATTGTATCCCATGCTTTCTAATAGGGTCACATACATACATTATATTCTTTATCAGGATGTTTCAGCTTTTCATTGGAGCTGTGTAATGTTGACACCAGAGGAGATTTTCAAACCCAATAATGAGTTTCGCTCATTCTTGAGAATTGGGACAAAACCTTTTTTCCCCCATTCAATTAAGCTGGGAAAATATATTTTAAAAGATCAAAGTCTTGACTATTAAAGCCTGTAATGAGCTAACCTCCCGGTGATTTTTTTTTCTTAAATAGCATACATAATGGATACCAGAGGTGAAGTCTGACGGAGATGATGTCTTACAGAGTTGACAAAAAGTTATATATTTTTTAATTTCACAGCAGTTGTAGTGAGAAGACATTTTACTTTTCAGTGGTGCTAAAAGTTCTCTTGGTGCTTATCAAAATACTCATTTTCAAACTATAGTTCTTATTTAGTTTTGATTTAGAAGGGCTAGGGAGTTGAAATGTCATGGTTGAGACTCACCAGATAAATAGAAAGCTTACCAGTGCTTGAACAGCATTTCCACCCGATTGGAAACCTGGAGGTGAGACTGTAATCTTTAGCATATAGCTGACCCCTTTTATGCACGATTAAATTATGTTTTTGTTGAAATCTGACGGAAATGACAAAAAATCTTTGACACAGCTTTAAAGGGAAAAAGAAAGAAAACAAAGTTGAATGTAACAGTACATTTTGACACCGATTTAATCAGCACATACTGTTAGTTTTACACATTAAAGGCTTCAACACATTATTTAGTTGTTTGAAGTTGTGAACTCTTGTCTGGGACAGGGTGTTTACAAGTTAAAAAATGAAGACAGATCAAAATATTTTGTAAATCATATTTATTTCATATAAAATAAATCCTTTAAAAATAATGTTTCACCCCAGAAACAGAATTAGAGTGTTGATAAGTCACACTAGTTTTTTGCTTTTTTGGCAGGGCATGATTTGTCCTAGTTCAGTATCAGTGTCCTGATTTGTTGCTGCATTATCATTCCATCAAATAGAAATGTAGATGTTTTCTGTATCATATTATACAAATTTCCTCAAAATGCAGCCAAACCTCCACCAGTGGCCCCCAACCACATTAGTCCCTACAGTTTTAAGTCTTTAAAAATAGATAACAAATATATACTTTAAGTCCTCAAAAGGCTAATTTGTTTCCCAAAATTATTTTGTGTATGTGGGATCTACTTTAAATAAACTACAGTGCCCGTGTTCATTTTGATAATGGAACATATCACCCAGTGGAATGGTGAACATTTATGTTTTTTTTTAGTAGTTTTTAGACAACAGTGGTGATCTGTGACACAGAGGAATAAGTAAATCAGGACTTGGCTACAAATGCAATACTTGTTAGTAGGATCCATTCATTGTTAGTTTTAGTCTGTTCATGGGATTTGTTGATAACAAGAAAGATAAAGAAGCAGAAACATACTTTGGAGCATTAAAAACTCAGTCAGCTGTCTTACACAAGGAAAGGATAAACAGAGCTGTGGAACTTCATTCTGTAGTTTGGTTTGCCATTTAATATTTATTGGTAGTGTCTCTTTCTCCAGAAGGGAAAAGTTATACTGCCCCCTGGTGACAGATTTTATTATGTAGAATGCAAGATTGCCTTTTGATCATGTGTTCAGAAGTGACCTACAGTTACAACTTTATGAAAGCCCTTTTTGTTTTTTAGTGAGATTAATCTTCTTTTTTTTTAGTAATAAAATTGACTTGATACATGTGATTATGGTAACTTTTCTTTTACTTTGTCTTTCTCAAATACAGGAAGATGCACAAGACCTGGATGCACTTACACTGGCCAAATCCTACTTTGACCTGAAAGAGTATGACCGTGCCGCTTACTTTCTGAAAGGCTGCTGCAGTCAGAAGGCTTATTTCCTCTATATGTATTCTCGCTACCTGGTAAGGTTCTGTAGATATCTTTCGTGTCCACATCCTTTGAGCTTTGATTTTATTTTGATTACAATGCTTGTGAACCATTTTGAAACTTTCTGTCTTTGTCTTCAGTCAGGTGAGAAGAAAAAGGACGATGAGACTGTGGACAGCCTGGGTGAGGACTTGTCTGTTTGACCTTTTTAAAGAGAACTGAAAGTACTTTTTTCCCCTTTTAAAACTTATTTTTTTGTGTGTGGTACCAGGTCCTCTGGAGAAGGGTCAGGTGCGCAATGAAGCCTTGCGAGAACTGAGGGTTGAGCTCAGTAAGAAGCACACAGCAGGAGAGTTGGACGGGTTCACCCTGTACCTGTAAGAATGTTTCCTCCAGTGTGTACATACTTTACTCAGAGTAAACAGAGGAATACAGTGGAATGCTCATAAACTGTACATGTGTTTGTGAATGTGGTAACACAGGTATGGGGTGGTGCTACGAAAGCTGGATCTGCTGAAGGAGGCAGTGGAGGTGTTTGTTGAGGCAATTCATGCGCTTCCTCTTCATTGGGGAGCCTGGCTGGAGCTTAGTAACCTTGTCACCAACATTGAAATGGTAACTACCTTTGTCTATTCATATACATTAGATAGCATTGTATCATTAACTTTATATTCCCATAAAACAAAACTTTCTCATATTCAGTTAATTCAAAGAAACCCAAAAGAAGTTCCATCTCAGGTAATTATATGGGCTGAAATGATTCCATCTACCCTGGTCTTTTGGTCTTTGTCCCCAGCTGAAGTCACTGTCCCTGCCAGACTGCTGGATTAAAGACTTCTTCATGGCCCACATGTACACAGAGCTGCAGATGATCAAAGAAGCGCTGCAGAAATACCAGAACCTCATGGAGGCCGGCTTTTCGAAGAGCACCTACATCATCTCACAGATTGCCGTGGCCTACCACAACATCAGAGGTTCATTTTCTACCTTTTCATTTTGAGATTTTGCCTGTCAGAAGTAACGTCAAGGGAACAGGTGAAGTTTTGCAGCACTCTGTTTCTGTTCATTTCAGATATTGACCAAGCTTTGGCTCTCTTCAACGAGTTGAGGGAGCAGGATCCGTATCGCATCGACAACATGGACACATTCTCCAACCTGCTCTATGTCAAAGTGAGTTCACCACTTGTGATGAATTGAAGAAGTATGTTCTCACCGGGAGGTTAGACGTCTCAAAAGTATCAGCCAGTAGGGATAAACATTTAAGTGGGACAGATGCTTAGTGGCAGAGGGGGTATCTTGATGTTTTTATATGGCCTCTCTGAGTCACGCTTTCAGAATAGGATCTAAGTGAAATAAAAATAGCTGGTCTTGAACAGATTGATGTTCTTGTGAAGACACATTAATAAATATAAAATATAGATTTTTTATTTTGTTTGTTTCCTGTTGCTGATGGTAATGAATCTTTCCACAGAGCATGAAGCCAGAGTTGAGCTACTTGGCCCACAACCTGGTGGAGATCGACAAGTACAGAGTGGAGACATGCTGTGTTATCGGTAAGATAATCTGATCGACACTAACGCCACTGTTTGATTCTGCAGCATAAGTTTTCAACAATGAAACGATTAATTGATGAGTTCATAAAAGTGTGTTGTAACAGCACAAACGTATTAACTGGTTACAGCTTCACAGGTGTATTTGCTCGCTCTTTTCTAATTTATGTCCCATACAAATTTATCAGCCGGTCAGTTAATTTGTATTGCGTATTTTGTAAAAGGGTTATGTGTGTAATAAGTTGTCTCTCATCCACAGGTAACTATTATAGCTTACGCTCTCAGCATGAGAAGGCAGCTCTGTACTTCCAGCGGGCCCTCAAACTGAACCCTCGATGCCTCGGTGCCTGGACTCTCATGGGCCACGAATACATGGAAATGAAGAACACCTCAGCTGCCATCCAGGCCTACAGGTCAGACTGAAGATGATGTAGAGCATAGACTGCTCTTAATTTGGTGGCTATACCAGTGTCTTATGCAGTGGGTAAATGATGACGTTTTTACCAGCTGTGACAGCTTTGTGACGGCTATTATTGTTATCACTTTGTAAGTCTGTGTGTGTGTGTGTTTGTCATCATGGCGAAACGTGGTCTTAGTTGCAGCTACTCTAGCAGTACTAAGACAGAAGCCATTTTGAGTATTTTGCCAGGTGTTTATATGTCTATCTGTGGACAGATTCTGTCAACGTGATGTCGTCACAGGTGTGTAGTTGAGGTCAAAATGAAGGCTGAGGTCAAGATGGCTGTGGTCCAAGCAAGGGAGCCAGAAGTAGGGGGGTAGGAAATAGAGGACTGCATTGGGATTGGGCTCAACACAAATCATGCAGGAGCAGGCAGTTTTATCTTTATTGAGGGTGAGAGCAGGTGGTTAAAACAATTAACATGTGGGTCCTGGAGATTAGTTAACATGAAGGATGGAGACATCAACAAGTTTAGTGGAAAAGAAGATAATAGCAGGGCATAACAATGAAAAGAAAAGTAATATAAATTGGACATTTGGAGGAATTTGTCAGGAATATTACAGATTATAATTATAATACAGCAAATCTCAAAGACACCAGAATTACTGTAATTATGCACTAAGACGTAATGTTGCTACTTATTACCAACAGATATGCATAGCTTCCTTAATACCACAGTAAAATGATGTATTTTCCTTGTGAGACAGGAGAAGACTCAATCTATTGATAATCAATTATTGCATGGGTGTGTGGTCAGTGTTTGTGTGGGCAGGCAGCAGCTGACACACACCCTGTGGGAATGGTCAGGAATAGATTATAGTAGTGGTCAGAAATCCAGCGAGAGCAGGCACACAGCCCCACACCTGGCTCTAGTGGGGAAAGGGTCAATGGTCCCACCACTTAACATCCCTGGCCCACATTCATTTCAAGTCGCCGATCACTGTATTGCAAATGGCATCTCAAGACAGTGTCTAGTTACTTGTTGCCACATCTTTCACAGCAGTGTGGACGATTCATACCAGCTGTATTGTTTCCTTGTTTTTACTGTTTCCTATCAGGCATGCCATTGAAGTGAACAAGCGAGACTACCGTGCCTGGTATGGCCTGGGTCAGACATATGAGATCCTCAAGATGCCCTTTTACTGTTTGTACTATTATCGAAAAGCTCACCAGCTCAGGTATGGATGTTGACAAACTGCAGGTGTTACTAAGAATCAAAGTTATGTAGAAAGATATATAAATCTCATAATTTATTTTGACATACAATGATGTATTTCCATAGGCCTAATGACTCACGCATGTTGGTCGCACTGGGGGAAAGCTATGAAAAGCTGTCACAGCAAGTGGAAGCCAAAAAGGTACGTACATTACAACTGCCAGCGACTCCTGGTGTGTAAATTCACAAAGCTTTCTGGCTGGTTTTTGACACATTCTATTTTTGTCTAGTGTTACTGGAGGGCGTACTCTGTCGGAGATGTCGAGAAAATGGCTCTTCTCAAGTTGGCAAAGTAAGTGTGCTGTATCCTGAGGAAATGTGATTGAAGAAAATCAAACAACATGTGGTCTCAAAAAAATGTCGCTCACATCACATTTTATTTAAAATTTAAGCACAAAATGAAGATCCACTCTGCAGCTTGCTGTCTTCTGTTGTCATTATGTCAACATGTAAATTGTATCACCCAGAAATAGGAGCCAATGTGAATTCTTTCTTATTCTTTTGGCAGGCTCCATGAACAGCTGAATGAGTCTGATGATGCTGCCCAGTGTTACATGCTTTACATCAAAGACATTTTCTCTTGTGGGGTAAGCATTATAAAGGATCCAAATACATATGCTACTTTTTGACACTCCTGCCAACAGACTTGTGTGTGGTTTTGATCCGGGCTGTAGCCATGGTTTTGGCCAGGCTCTTCAGTTACACTTAAGGGAAATGTTAATGCAACACCAAATAGTTGTACTTTGTGGCAGGAGTTTGTGTTTGGCTTGCTACTGTTTCTACATGATTATTCACACGTGCACAAAGCAATGGTTTTGTTTGGCGTGGAAAAAGTTCATTGGCTAAGAGCTCTGACCTCAACCCCTTCTGAGACCTTTGGGATGAACTGAAAAGACTGGAGGCTGTTAGAGCAGCATATTAATGCCTGTGGTTTTTAAATGAGATGTTCACCAATCAAAAAGGATTTAATGTTTTTTGCCCTTTATTGCATTTGTTTGGAAGAAATCCACTTCAACTAAAATCTTGTCATCACAGGAGCAGCTGGAGCACGCGGAGGTGAGCACAGCCCTGCGGTACCTGGGTCAGTACTATTTCAAGAACAAGCTCTACGATGAGGCGTCCCTCTGTGCCCAACGCTGTTGCGACTACAATGACGTAAGTGTGCCTGCATGATGTGAGCACTGTGTTCTAGTCACTGCAGTGGAGAGGAAGTATTAGTAACGCACTAACTGGTGTCGGTGGTCACTCTGCTCGTAGGCTCGCGAAGAGGGAAAGGCTCTGCTGAGGCAAATTTCACAAGTCAGAGATCAGATCGAGACGCCATCAGCAGATCTGTTCGCGCCGCTCTCAAACAACAACACTCCCGTCAGGAGGGTGTCTCCGCTGAACCTTATCTCCTTCACACCCTGACACCCACCCGCCTATTCACTGGCTTTGTAATGGACAGTTTGTAAATCCAACTGCTTGGGGAGGTTTGACTTTGCCAAAAGACAGTGTTGGAAGGATTTATTTGTTGGCACAGAGATTTGTTAATGACATTAAAATGACATTTGTTTGTAAAAGTTGCAATCCTGATCATTTTTGTCCAGGATAAGACACAATGTAATGTAAAAGCAAGCTCTTTAAATGAATGCCTGGATCAGTTAGCATATTGTACATACTTTAGTCAAAGCAATACAAAAAGTGTTTGAATACGTTTAATAAACATGCAACAATTGTATAAGTAAATGTAAAAAAAAAAAAAAGCACAAAGATCCATCAGAGCAGACACTCAGTACAAAGAAGACACCTTGAACTATTTACATATATACACCCACCCACACACAGAACAAAGACAGCACACAAACACCATGTTTTGACTTGCAGTCAGGCCTCATCAATGCTGTATATATGTAAATAGTTTGGATAAAACATACCTGTTAGGACTGCTTCTTTGTAATGTCATTTTCATGTTCTACAGTGCATGGAAATAAAATACATTTTTCAGCTATAGACACTTACAATGTTTTCATAGAGTTTATTGTAGAAAACAGGTACTTGCAGCAAAGGCATGCAGAGGAGGTGCAGAAGCAGTGAAGGGTGATTACACACACACATGCACTATTCTTAACTATGCAGTCCATAACCATTAGCCACTGAGCAGCTTTACTGCTCAAGAACACCTCAACTCCCTTGGTAGTGTACTGCAATCCCATTTAAAGCATAACTGTTTTACTGGCATGAACATCAGAAGTATATTTGGCATGACAACAGTGAGTTAACCGCACTGCAAACAGTGATTATATACAAAACAGTATAAAAATACTATAAAGTTACCAGCAAATAAAACTCTTTTCTGCATAATATCAAAGAGGATGCACTCCAAAGAGCTCAGTACTTCCCCCTGAGACTACGGGGGGTGGGGAAAGGACTGGGAGGTGGAGACTGCTGGCGAGACCGCAAGATTCGTGAGGAGGGGGTAAGGGTTGCTTCTTCAACAGCACGAGTGTTGTATTTACGCGTTGGGGTGCGTGTCGGGAACAGAGACTGGAAAAAGGGCCGTTTATTCGGAGGCCGGTTCTCTGTGTCGCTTGGCGCTGCGGCCCCACAGCCCCTCTTCTTGCAGAAAGCTGGTGTGTTGGAGGCAGCAGAGCCTGACGGGGGCAGCTGGGGCCGGGCAGCCTGTGTCTGGGCCAGGGTCTCCGCTTTCCGTCTTAAGTCTGCCTTTACAAGCATCAGGCCATTCTGGAGGTCCGAAAGGATCTGGTCCTGAGAAGAAGTCAGTCAACAGGGTTAGACAGGACCACAGAGTGGGGAGTGAAGGATGAGGTGGGAGGTTGAGAGAGAGAAGTGAGCCACAGTGAAACTTCTGATCATGCTTTTGCACACTAATCACCTGGTGTAGATGTTAGAGACCTAGATTTAGTTTAAAAGCTGGCTGTGTGTCAAGCTTGTTAGTGAAGAGAGCAGAGGGAGAGAAAAACAAAAGTACTTTCAATTGAGAGCTGCACTTTAAACAGATACTAATAGTCTCTGCTTCTCTAAAGTTAGAGAATCTATAACCAGCCTCAAAGCGAGGAGACGTGTAATTACTATCAGAACTCTGCCCTAACTGAAATCGTGCAGAGGTTCTTACAGAGATGACAGTATGTGATTTCAGCTAGTTCTTTATCAGCTGAGCTTCAGCTGCTGTTACTTTTCCATTTGCAATAGAGAGCTTTTTTTTTTTAAAAATGTCCAGTTTCAAACTGGTCTTATCCAATGAAAGAAAATAAATGTAACCTCTAAATCACATTGAAGTCTGGAGTAACTTCAATAAATTGACAAAAACTATCACCAACAAAATAAATAAGCTTAACTTCGGAGCTACATTCAAATGAATACTTTTCCAAACAGTGTCTTAGTTGAATGCTTTTTTCACCTTTTCTCACAGCACAGAGGGCTTAGCCCCTTTGAAATGGTTAAAATAATATAAAGTACGTATCTGTGGCTTTACCTGTTTGGCCAGTGTCTCATCTGCAGCTGTTAGTGCCTGCCGCAGCCTTTCCCCTCCTGTGTTGCGACAGCAGGCTCGTTCACCAGACTGCAAGTCTAACCCGAGCCTCTGCAAATCCAGGCGCAGCTGACGCAGGTTCTGTTAGACAGAGTCAGAATTTTAGTCTTTGTGAGGATGAAGACACTCGCCTGCAGCAAAAACAATGTTGCATTTCATATAGTGGAGCAGTAACTGACCCGTTGACCATCCTCCAGCTTGCGGTCAGCGGCGCCAGTGAGGGTGCCTGTTGAGCCTGGGACTTCCAGCTGCATCTTCAGCTTTGTCAGCTCTGCACAGGTGAGCAGAACAAGACAGTTAGCTACCACTAGCAACATCCTAACATCAACACATTATCTGAGCAGTATTTCAGTCACCTTGTGACTTAGTGAGCAGCTCAACACGACACTGGTTGAGCTCAGCATGCAGTCTGCCGACTTCTGTTTGAGAAGTGAGGCGCTGAGAGCGTCGAGGCCCCTCAGCATCTTCCTGTGGCACCAACACAGGCGCCACTTCAGCTGCCTTGTTTTTTTCAAGTGCAGCAGACAAAGCTTCAATCTCCTGATCACGCTCCTAAAAGGGAGGATGAAAAGAAAAAAATTAGCAAAAATATCGACACAGATACAACAACAGGATTACAAATGAAACTACATTGTGGATACTTTTTGAATAGGGGAAAGATCTCATTTAACTAGAGTGCAGAGTTTTGCAGATTATATGTGCGCTGAAACCCTGGGGACAGACACTGCCAGGAAGTAATGCCAACTTATGGCTGATGATTTATCTCTCACCTTCAGCTCCTGGCTGTAGAACTTCTTCAAATGTTTCTGCACGTTAGTAATCTTGTCTTCGTATCTCTCTTCAATTAGAGCTCTCTCTGCCTCCAAGGTCTCACTGTAGGGCAGGAACACATTGCAACTCAGGATCTGCATTCATTTCAAATTCCAGCATTTTCTCACTATTCTAATGTTACAGCTTTGAGGGCAATTTCTTTGATGAAAAAAATACAAGGAATGCAAATCATTTGTGTTTTCCTGAAACTGCTTCACTTTTCAACTGCTAACAAATTCTATTACAAGAGGGCTGTTCTCACATGTCATTGCAAGAAATGCTTTTATCATGTACCAAATGCAGCCTGGTTAGTATTGTGCCCCGTTATCACCAAGCGGTACGGTACAGTTCAGTACGGATTTCTTTTAGTAATGAGTGGATCTTCAAGCATTTAAAAATATATATTGTTTAGACCGAATTATGTGAACTGTATCCTCACTGCGGGCTCCGGCAACACTAAACCCCTGAGCTTGCCTTAGAAGGACTAAATGCACAAACCCGCTATTTTTAAATATCCCATGGAGAGAGACTTTCACTGCAGCCTGTTCTATTTTGTTCTGAAAATGTTGGCGTGCAGCCTCGTTCTGTGGACGATAAACAAGGTGCAAACTGATAAAGGAGGAAATACAGTGAGTGCTGGACGGAGCAGTGAGTGAACAACCCTGCCCACATTTAAGGGTACTGTTTGCGGTGGAAACGCTAGGGTCTAGGTACCATGTCTGAAGGGTTACTTTTGGTTCCAAAGGTACCAAATACTGAAAATGTTTGGTGGAAACAGGGCTTTATGTAGGCATCTTAAAAACATTTGGTCTAAACAAAGCAGACACACACCTGAATCCTTCTTGCATCCCATTGATGATCTCCATCATCTCAGAGACCACCTGCTCTCTCACATTTGCCTCAAGAGCCTCCTTCTCTTCCCGCTGGCGCTGCACCTCTCTCTTCAGGACATCAATGGCCTGCAGCAAAGCCTTCAGAAAGCACAGTCAGCTGTTAGCAACACTGGACAAGTGTGTGTTTTGAGACATTTAAAATGCTGTTAAAAAACTGGTTGTAGTTGATCTGAAAGGCATTATCTAGGTGTTCATCAATTACGCAAAGCATTAATGGCTTCATACATGAGAATGTTTTCAAAGTAAAGACAATTGGTTATGGACGTGGATGGAGAATAGTGAACATTTATCTGTCACATAACTGTGGAGGCAGTTACCTCGGTATTTAACATGGTGATATCTCCATCTTCAACATCACTCTCATCTTCTTCTTCTTCCATTATCAAGCTGTCGTTACCGTTTGCTGCTGGCTCACGCAGCATGGACAGGATGTAGGCCACTCTGGTCTTTGTGGACGGGCCATGGACCAGCTGAAATGACGAGGGATGTTTTTTCTCTTTTTTCTTTGGTCTCATCCCTACATGCAAGACTAGCTCTAAAAATCACAGAAGTTAGATGAACAGTATAAAGGAGATGCTCCTTACTTGAGTGGCAATAGCTGAGAATTTGAGGGCTTGGAGGGTCTCGTCATAGATGGAGGCACATGGGTTGATGTTGACCACCATGCTGGAGGTTCCTCTGCCACAGAAGAAACCCTGCAGGACCCGAGTCAGTTTACTGTCCCTGAAGGGCACCACCTGAGGGGGTCGTGATCTGCGGAGGTTAAAAAGTTTTTAAAGTATAGCTGTCTTTCAAACAGCTCAGTCCAATATCTTAAAATGAGAAGTCTTTTATTTGAAGCACTTGGAAATACTGCCTCACATGATATGGAACAATACTGTCATTATCGCAGAAGTGATCGTGAAAGAAGCTGAGCATGAAAGTTCATTTCTGACCACGGGAACAGAAAAAAAAATCTACACTCAAACATTCACTGACTGGCCTATAGAGTTATTTATGTGTTTCTAATGTACTACATCACTACTACCGCATCGAACCGATCACTCCAAGTTATGGTTAAACACGTACTTGTTGTTCTGGTTCTGCCTCAGAGCAGCAATACAGCGTCCCAGTGTTAAAAGGGAGGTGTTGATGTTGCTGGCCTCCTTCATCCTCTCACCATTACGCTGCTCTTTACAGCGCTCAGACCCAGCCAGATCACACACAGTCAGTCTAAGAGGGAGACAAAACAAGATACGGCGGTGTTTTATCGCTTTTGCAAACTCAAAATATACCAAAATTAACCAAAGTTGAAATTTAGAGTGTGTTAACTAAAGGTCAACTTACTCGCTGATGTGCATGGCCTGGGTTTGATCTGCTTCTGGACGGACATGCAGGACACGGATGGAAAAAATGCTGTGGCTGAGTGGGGGATAAATTTATGATCAGAGATTAAATGAGTGTGCATCAAACACACATCAAAATAAATCAAAATATGGCTAAAGTTTAATGTGCCCCTACCTGCGGCTGGAGTTTTGGTTGAGGTGAGTGCTGGCAAAGCTCTGGTTACGACGTCCAGCCCTCAGAATTCTCCATGCTTCCTCTGCACTGCGGACCTGGATCCAGGTGAGGTCTGATAGAACAAGACGAAGAAGCAAAAAAGTTATACTTGGCAAAATGTTTCATGTGCTGCTGTACAGATTTTTTAAAGTGTCCATGTCAATACAACAAAGCAAAGCGAAACAAAGCAAACAGACCAGTAAAAGTATTTCAACATCTCAGCACAATGTGTCTCATAATGTGGTGTTACAGTCGCACCAAAGAAGCCGTTTACAGTTTAACATTTTCCGCTTACACCACATGGGAGAAGCTGTATACTGAGCTTACTATACTACTGAAACAGTTTAATGTTCTATAAACATTAACTCTGTGAATGAGTGTTACCTTTCACATAGGGGTTGCCGTGCTTGTCGTCACTAAGCCGCAGCGTGACCCTTTTCCTGAGCTGCAGGGAGGGTGAAGAATCCAGGAGGTCATACAAGAACTCATTGTAGATCTCGTAGAAGGACACCCAGATAGAAAACTGCACTCCTTCTTCCAGATCATCTCCACTGTGTGAAAGGCTGTCAGGCTCCAGACAAACACTGTCAGTGTCTGCAGAGAGAGAGAAGTAAAAATCAATGTATGATGTGTTTGAAAATAAAGCAAGTTGCATTGGCAGTATTGATTTCAGTGCAATGGAGGCAGGGTTCAGCTAAGTAAGTATGAATGAGACAGGATGTATGCTACAAATATAATTTAATTTGGTGCTTTTGCACAAGTAAAATAGTAACCTTGCTGTCAATACCATATCCAGATTTCCTACACTATTCACCTATATCATACAATATGAGTACAACAGGCCTTGCAAATTTGCCAAATGTGTCTCCCTTTGGAATACACTGCTGTCCTCCTCACCTTCAAGCTGCGTGGCAATGTGACTTGTAGAGGATAGTCCTCCGATGCCGCTGTCCCAGACTGTAGTGGTACCACCTCGACGAGAATTCATATTCTCATCCTGTAACAAACAGGAAGAATTAGAACGTCTTCCACACAGATATGAGCTGATGTATTCTTTCTAATAAGTGTGTTTACTCAGATCAACAAAAATAATATAAAAGAAGTTTATACTTAAGACTTCTTTCTTAAAAAGGTTTGATGTGTAACCGGTGCTGGAAGTTTTTATGTGACAGTTCAAAAGTTGGTGGCATTAAAACAGGCTCACTTGTTTTCTAAATCCCACCCACTCAGAGAGACCATTAACAGTCATTTCCTTTACTCAAACATAAACTCTTATTTATATTACTTTCTTTGTTGTTGGTGTTTTTTTGTTTTCAATAGAGATACTGTGGAGAAAGAAGTGTCATTTTCTATCCGTAGCACTTAATGTGAGTCATGTCATTGATTCTAGCTGGATATTTTTCAGGCTTTAAAACACACCTACTACAGGTTGGTTGACATTGAACTAGATGGAACTCTGTCTATGCCTGAGATCAGGATGACAACGTTATTAAAACTGACACTCTGCAGTGCCAGAAATATACAAAGATATATTATTGCTATATACCTGTCAGCAAGAGACACTGGGACAGAGTGCAACAAGGAAATTACATTTTAATTGCATAAAGTTGTTGTTCTGTTTACCTCTTTGAGCAGAGAGTTTCTGCGGATTTCCTCAGCCCAGACCTCACCAGAGTCAAGGTGCCTCACATCCTGATTCATGACAGGCTTAAGGTCCATGGCACCGTAGAGACGACCCTGCAGTTTCCTGAACATGGATACCAAAGCCCGGGGCAGGAGGCCTGCCTCTCGACCGCTGCCTGCAGGGCAAAGTTTGAGATTTAAAGTTTGCATTTAACTGACCACATAAGCACTGAATGCGGTATCAGCATCTAAAACCATTCTACAGAGCTACAAACACTAACATCACAGTCTGAACTGGGCTTTATACTGATGTGTCCAGGAAAAAACAAGTATACCTTGAATAGTGTAAGTCTTTCCAGAATTGGTGACGCCATACGTGTAGAGGAGTCGGTTTTCTCCATGAAGCACGTCTTTCACCATCGTCTTCATCACGCACTCATAAAACTGCTGTTGTGTGGTCTCTGGCCCAAAAATCTGTGAAAGATGGGGGATGAGAAAACATCAGCATGTGGCTTTTTTTTTTTTTTTTTTAAGAAATACTATGGAATGTGTTACTTCAGCGTCCTCCTTGTTTATTACTGGTAGAGATGTCCGATATTATCGGCCTACCGATATTGGCATTAAAATGTAATATCGGAAATTATCAGTATCGGTTTTTACTTTTTTAATGACACAACTTTTACACAGCATGCACATATTATACATCAAACTCTTCAGCTACTTCTCCTCTCACTCAAAATGTCAAAATATGAGAGATGTGGTGTATAGTTTTTGAGATATCTTTGTTTGTTTGGCACAACTCGCAATAAATCCTGTGGCTTCTGCATTTCTGAGCCAACCTTGAACGTTTAGGTAGACGTCTATCCACGAACGGGGGGTGGGGGGGTGAGGGGGACCACGCATATATCGGTATCGGTTGATATCGGTATTGGAAATTAAGAGTCGGACAATATCGGTATATCGGATATCGGTAAAAAAGCCAATATCGAACATCCCTAATTACTGGCATTGATTACTATGCACACTCACTAAACATCATGCTTATTCAACACTATGCACCAGTGTGACCCTCCTACCTTTGAGAAACTGAACTTGTGCATGCTCTGGGTGATGCCCCTCTCTGCTGTTCTCATGTTATGAGATTCTTTTGGAGCTTTGAGCAGCAGAGTCTCCTCGTCTTGGACAGCTACACAACCCTAAAAGAAGAGTGAACCTTGAGCTCAGAGTACAGTTTTGCTAAAAGCAATAAATGCACATTATCGGCCCACAGAATCATAGTCTTACCTGCTCTTCTCCCCTATCACTCTCCGTCTCAGTGAGTGGTCGGATGCGCAGAAAAACCTTCACTCTCTCTGTGTTCCCTTCCTCACAGCTTCCTTGTCTCACCGCTGCAGGTTTCCCTGCAATTTTCTAGAAACACAAATTAAAAACATAGTTAATGTTTTGCTGCCGACGAAGAACTAAAATTGTGAAGGAGAAGACAACAAGTTGATAAAATACAGGTTACAAAACATTTCATAAAAGGAGTTTGCAAATGCTTTTGTTACACCCTTAGGAATGTTTTGGGGAAAAATGTTGAATGTAAACCTCATTTGTTTACACTGTAAACCCCACAGGGTGCACTGCAGCAAAAACATAAAAAAATAGCACTCTCACCGGAATTAAAATGGACGGCTGGTTGTCCAGGCCAGGGGAGATAACAGAGATCTCAGGTAGACGTGGCCTGGACATGCCTCCATGCTCTGCTGCCGTAGACTCAAACACAGCCATATCCTCGTCCTCATCAGAGCGGAACCCACACGGGGAGGACAAAGTCAGCGCCATGCTTACCTGTTACAAGAAGACAAACCCTAATGAGTATGTGGTTATTCTAAAGGCAAAGTAAATGCAACACTTTTAAAACCTGGCTGTGTATGTGAGGAAATGCATACATGCTATGCATTACATATTTATTATGTTATAATATTTTGAAGCATCTTTTTCATATTTTCATTGCAATTTTTTATGCTGTATTGTATTTATGTTGTTGACTATTGCAGTACTGTATCATTTACATTATATTTCATGTATGCAAAGACCAGAGCAAATTCCTTGTAGGTGAAAACCTGCTTGGAAATAAATTTTATTCTGCCAACTTTGTCATTTTCCTTTGCATGTATGCTTGGGGACAGGATTGATCAGAATACAGTAGAAAGAAATCAGTGAATAAACATATTTTAGTACCTATAACTAGGCCATCACTGAGGAATTGGCAGCAACTCACTGTACAGAAAGGATCAGTTTAAACAGGGGTGTGTCATGTGACAAGGTGACTAAACACAGAAACTGACGGAAGCCTACTTTGCCCTTCAAACCCAAACAGTACAATTCAAAGACTAGTCAGACAGGAAAATGAAATCCCGGGCAATCACCTGTCCTGACGAGTTTAGTATGAGTGCAGAAGAAAACCATCATGAAATCAATTTTTAAAAAGTATGTTGACTGCAAAGGGAAAGCAGTCCTCCACAGAGAGACACACACTGGAGAGCATAGTGCACGTTAAATCACACTATAACGTTATATTTTGCTCATTTAGATGGATGGCACTAAAGGTATTTACAAAATATGTACGTTACTTGTTTACAGTGAAACCTATTATGCACATAAGCGACTAACCGTTAACGATACTCGTGCCTTAGCACCAGGTACCATTATGCTAACGTAAATAGAGAATAATGTTACTAAACTATCCTTGCAATTAATGTAAGTTATGTATGTTTATCTGAGGGCCGTTTATTCTTTTTTAATAGTAGGGAGCCAACATTTCAACCAAATTTCAACACGAGGAGTGCGCGTGACTAACGTATGTAAAGTTACCGTTGAAGGTACACGAGAAGCTGTGTCCTTGTTTGAAAATCGTGTGGTCACTCCTACCAAACTAACACAACACTGCTTATATCGCTTTTGGCTAACATAAGCTTGATTAAAGCCACTGTATTATTAGCTAGGTAAACATTTAGCTGTATCGTAACTAACAGGTGTAACGTTATTGTTGTTAGCATCGATTGTCCAAAGGTTAAAAATAGAACCTTACCTCGAATGTCGAAAGTGCGCGCCTGGTTTCGAGAAACGTTATGTAAATGTTCTCAACTTACTGAATAAATCGCCAAAACTTAAGTACCTGAATAAAGACGGAGACACTGAATTAAGTTTGTATCAAAACTACCTGAAACTAACACTTACCTATCGCTTCTTCTTGGTATCGAAGCAGAGAAACGCTCAGTGTACCTCAGCTGAATTGTTTTACCCGACAGCGTTTGGTTTTTGAACAATGCGCGTCCCCTGCAGGGCGAGTCGCCGATTGGCTAAAGCAAGCGACGTCACGCGCAACGCATCTACGCAACATCGCGTCACCTTCTGAAAGCGGAAGTATCGCGGCGAGATGTTTTACTGCTTCGCTTGTGTCGCGCTGGTTTTGAAAGCGGAATATTTTTTGTCAATTTGCTTCGGTATTTAACAATACAATAAAAACTTAAGATAATACATGCGTATTGAACAAAATAACAACAATCAAAGAACTAACTGTTTATCATGGTATCAGATTTAATCCATGTCCACAAAGGTAATACCAAAGTTTAACCAGCAAGTGTCGCCATTATCAACTAATAAATCCTTGGAGACCGATCATCTCATTTTCAAGGGGGTCCCAAATAAGTTGAGGCTTGCTCATTCCAAAATTAAAATGTCATGTTTATTCCACGTGCATTTTACATGATAATATAAAGTGATACAACCAGGCTACATCAAACATTGGTGTAATGACAGAGGATTAGGCTACATCAGAATCAGAAAAGGATTTATCGGCAAGTTTACTTTGGTTTTTGGTCCATACATAAACATACAGTGAACCTATTTAGAGCAATACAAATAAGGCAAAGTACTGCAACATTCAAGAACTTAAATAAGGAATAGAAAAAATTACAATAAAAATATGACAAAGGTACTTTTAAAAAGTAGCCTACTGTAACTCTCGAGTGAAAGAGCTCCAAGTGCTGTGGCAAAACACTGACTTAAGAAGCACAACAAGACAAAACAATGCACATCAAAAAGCCGTGGCATCCCTGAGTGTTGCCATCTTAGGAGTAGGGTGCTTTGGACAAACCATAGAAAAACAGTTGATGAGTTTAGCAAAAGAAATCCCTGCCACAGAGAGTATTATCATTTTTTAAATTTTCTTTGTAAAATCTTACCCTCAATAACTGAAACAGTAAAATAAAAACACAATATTGCATGAAGCTTCATGCAGTGTGATTTACATGTGTTCACTGCAATTTTTCATTTATTAAAAAAGACATTCAATTTAACAGAAAACAAGACAAAAATGGAGGTTAGAGGTTGTGACTGAAATGCTTTTTTAAATTCACATACTCATAATAACACTATTAGGAGACTTGCATGAGTTATGCACACCGGCCAGATTTATACTGAAATTAAAGCATTTAGCTTTGCATGATGATTCACCCATGCTAAATGCCTATCAGTGAATCAATCACATCACATTGCTCTGCCGCTAGAGTCTTGGTCAGGTTCAAAGTTCTGCTCCATTGTGGTGGTGATGCTGTGAATGCTGACGTGGTTGTTTGAATTTTGGAGCCTTTGTTTCTGCACACTGTGCTGAACGCCGTAACAGAAGTAGATAATTAAACCTAAAAGAAGAAAGTTTGGTCAGGTTTGTTTATTTGATATTTCTGCACATTTTGCTAAAGTCTATTTTATGGTGATATTCTTCACATACCTACTGCCATCCACACTGCATAGCGGATCCATGTGTCTGTCCCGAGTTGAACCATGAGGTAGACATTGACAAAAGTGCTGAAAATAGGAAGCAATGGCACAAAGGGAACCTGTGTATGTGAAAGAGCAGAAACATTATGACAATAATATCAATGCAAAAAAATAAATGTACTTCTTCCCAGTTGCAAGATGCAAGATATAGATGAAATGTCAGTGGTTGGCTTTTTTTCTGTTGGGAGTGTTTTCCTACACTTAGTAATCAAAGTTTATGATTTCAGTAATGAAGCTCCAGTGGCTGAAATCAATATTAAAGTGCATCATTACGTGTGTGCTTCCAATAGCTGAGGCATACCATGAAAGCAGCTTTGGTTGTATTCTGTGGTTGTCTCCAGATGATCAGGGTAATGAGGCCCAGCAAGAGCACGATGATAGAGACACAAAGTAAACTCCACCATTTAAGGGCCTGCAGGGCATTTATAGTCCCAGATATAATGAGGCTCAGGATGATAACTATAAAGACTGAGGAGAACAATATAAGTCCAATGATTATTAACAGCGGAAATCATCTCCAGTATACTATTGAAGGATGATGTTGAGATCACTCACTAATAAAAACAATTAAAACAGATGCATTTTTTGATGTCCGTGAAGTTGCTTGTGAAGGAGGAAATAGCACTCCAGCAAATGTAAACGGTTCCAGTTTGCTGAAACTTGAATCCTCATTGAGGTCTGCCTGGTACCTGTGAAAGTGAGGAATACCATAAAAGAGTAATAATACCGTACGTGATTTCAATATTGTAAGCACCTTTGATGACTCACCTTAATATGAGGATACATATGGCAACAAGCGTGTAGGCAAAGAGGGTTCCAATTGACATCATGTCAACCAGCGCCTTCAGGTCAAACAACAGCGCCATGATAGCTGAAAAAACATGAATAATAATGACAAGAAGAAGAATTTACAGAATCCTCTTGCACTAATTTCAATAAATCATATTATAAATCATATTTCAGCAATAACTTTACCCAGATGTTGGTCTACAATCATGCATCATCATCATCACTTGACACATATGATAAGGGTTCATTCTGCAGATTTACTCAGCAGGAACACACTAACCTTTCACCACATATTGCCCCTCAAATGAATGCACTTGCACTTTTAGAATCAGTGCAGTATTCATTAACCATTTCAGCAGTGAGCATGAACTCCTGAGGTCAAAACAGGAGGGGTTTTTTTTTACAACAAAACCAAGACAGGGACTAACTAAAGCTTCCAGAAATATACAGAGAAAAGCTTTCAAATTATTATGACCTGTATGGGCAGTTTTACCTGCTACGACCCCTGAAGCCAGGGTCGCTATAACAGGACTTTGTCTGTCACTCATTTTACTGAGAGGTCTGAAGAGAAGTCCGTCCCTGGCCATGGCAAAGAGAACACGAGGCATCGGGAACATTGATCCTAACAGGCTGTGGGAAAAAGCTCAAATAACTCACCAATAATTATCATGTCATTTTTAGAATGTACTATAGATGTTGGCCAAGGACGATGAGAATTAAACTATCCTGTGAATTGAAATCAAGGTAAAATCCAAGCAATGATTGATTTGGCTTTGAGTTGAGTTGGGTTTATGAATGGCACACTGTGTTTCATACCTTGTTGACAGCGCACAGAGGGATCCCACAGCTACTACATACTTTGCAGGGCCCCAACCGATGTATGTGAAGGCCACAGGCAGTGGGCTATGAGCACTGAGCAAATAGTACGGCATCATGAGAGTCAGGGCTGCAGACACACCGAAGTAAGCCAGGAAGCAGATCAGGAGGGACGACACAATGCCGACTGGGATCGACTTCTGAGGGTTCTGAACCTCCTCTCCTGAAGATAAACATTAAATTATTGTATTTTATATCCTGCTATGCTCCTGCATCCTCTTCCAGTCTTGCCACATCTGTTCTTAATGCATTTACCTGTTGTTGCGATGCAGTCAAATCCAACAAATGCATAAAAGCATGTGGCTGCTCCTGCTAATGTCCCTTCAAAACCAAAAGGGAAAAATCCTCCGCTGCCATATCTGGTGGTGTCATTCAGCAATGTGAAGTTTCTGCAAAGATTCAACATGCTGATGCTTGGTCATGCAACAAAAATTGACAAACTGAAGGACAGATGCGGTTATTAAACACAACAAAGCACATCATGAGTTGAGATTAGGGATAGACCGACATGGATTTTTTAGGGCCGATGCCGATACCGATTTTTTTCCATCACCCTTAGCCGATGACCGATTATGGACTGCCGATTTTCTTGAGCCGATATTTGGGGCCGATACTGCTTTTGCTCCCTCAATTTACATCAAAAAAATGACACCATGATAACAAATATTACAGGTCTCAAGTTTAAAATAAGAAACATTTATTGAACAGTAAAAAATACTAAAACAAGATGGAAAGTTGAGGTAGAACAGGTAGAATATTATTATTATTATCATACATTCAAATAAAAAAAAGAGTTCAGTGCTCTTAAATCGTCCAGTAATGTCTTTATAAAATAAACAAATATTTAAGCTGAAGCATAAATAAAACAACAACTGCTGTACACAGTAGGATTTGCTGCATGTGCACTGCAGGGTCTTCCGGCAACACAGAGCTGCCCGTGGATGCCTGTATGTAAATCATGCCAGGGAAAAATAAATCCGCAAACCCACGCGCGTATCGGCAGATGCCAAACAAGTAAAAAACTCAAATATTGGCCCGATATATCGGCCGGCCGATGTATCAGTCTATCCTTAGTTGAGATGTTACATGTTGGTGTTGGATGGTGTGGAAACACTTTTTTTTCTTCTTCATTTTATGCATATGATAAAAATAAGCACCCATATTCATACCCATCTAGCAGTGAATCTTCACCAATGTACCAGTTGTTGATGTCGCCCTTAATGAATCCAGAGAGGATAACAAACAGCAACACCAGGATGTTTACTGCTGTAAAAACCTTATTTACAATAGCTGACTCTTTAACACCGAATGCAAGAATCCCTACAAGGAAAACACACAGAAAAAACAATGTTGATCATAACTGTGAACACAGTGGCACCTTGTTTTAAAGATATTCAGTGTAAAATAAAGAATACATTATAAAATGTGATTATACTATTTTTTCCTTCATTTTCCACCCATAAATTACAATAATAAATTCTTACATTTGGTAACAAGTCACAGGGGTGTAGATTAACTTGCCTGCCAAGAGCATTATGAGGCCGGCTGCAAAGAAGTCTGGGTAGGGAGCTAATCCAGGTAAATCCATCGCAGCCTGTTTGCCCAGAGAGCTGGCAATGACATTTCCAATGAGGTCATCGAAGGTCCCACTCCATGCTCTGGCAACACTTGACGTCCCTTAAAACCAGTTAAAAGGAAGAAAAAAGATACAACATGGATAAATAAACAGAAACTCGTATAATGGCTGACAGCAGGGTCACCAGTGTTATAAGCAACCATAAAAAACTTTTCCAACCTAACTTTTAGTTTAGATTTGAGCCTCATTTGAAACAACACAACGAAAGTTTTTACTAAAGAGACTTTTCCAAGATGACTAATAACCTCTTTACCTATGACATAAGACAGCAGCAAGTTCCAGCCAGTGATAAAAGCCCATATCTCCCCCACAGTCACATAGCTGTACAGGTAGGCAGAGCCAGTCTTGGGAACACGAGCTCCAAATTCAGCATAGCAAAGTCCTGCAACGATTGAGGCCACTGCTGCTATCAAGAAGGCAACTATGATACTCGGTCCAGCCACAGCTCTGGCTACTTCGCCGGACAGCACGTACACACCGGCCCCCAGTGTGCTGCCGACCCCCAGGGCCACGAGGTCAAGGGTGGTCAGGCATCGGCGGAAGTTTGACACCTCTCCTTCGGGCTCCAGAGGTTTCCTACGCGACAGACTCTGCAGGAGTGTCAGTATCTTTGCACCAGACATCCTCGCTGTAAAAACAACAACTTGATTAATGTTGAATTAATAAATGTTGCAATGCTGGACCAACTTTTTATATCTGAATAAATTGTGCTTTTAAAATCTCAGAAGATACATACAGAATGAACACCTAGACTCAAGTTGCCGTTGGTCTTGGTAAGTAAATACTACAATACAAGTTTTTAGTATTTTTTAAACTAGTAGTTATTTTTTAAATACGCAGTTTTAGTGAGAATACCATCAAATTATCAGGCAGATTAACTGAGTAACAAAGGCTGTAATGCACTGTAATTTCTTTTAAAATTAAGCAGTTAAAGTTAATTCAACACAGTATCATGCACTTTGAAAGGTGTAGAATATGGGATTAAAGATAAATATTTATCTTTGTTTTTTTAACACTGTGGTGCCATTTGTTATTTTTTTAAAGTATTTTCCCCACTACCTCTGCCCTTTGCACTTTGCACCGGGCTGCAGCACTGCAATAGAGTGCCCCAGGGATGGCGTTTTTCTGTAGGCAGACGCAGAAATTAGCTTCGTATTGGCTCTCTTGTGAATAAGCCCATGGGATGTTTTTGTTGAATGGATTATTGTCAGAAATAAACTCTATGGCAAATAAACGCTCATGATACTGAAGATACATGAAGATAATCTTCACAAATAAACACTATTTTCATGCTGATTGAAGCCTAAACGCAATTGCCATATGTAAAAAGCTAACATTAGGCTATTGACAATCTACCGTTGACCTAACATCACAACCATAACAAGATTGTAAAGCCGTTTGTAGCATGGGTCAGCATTATGATGTTCTGTAGTCTCATTTCACCACATGTTAGCAACCCCCTTCTTAAAAAAAAAAGTCCTTGAATTTGATGTTTATGACGGTGTGGAAACTCAAAAACACAAAAAGAAAGTTTGTAAAAAAGAGTAGGACCAACAACTGCAAAGGGTTGAGCTAATTTTATATTTTGACAAGTAGAAAAGTTGGGCCAACTTGACCTGATAGAGAAATAATTACTTCACCCAACGACAGTAATGAGTTGACATAACGTCACATTTCAACTTGTGGAAAGTTGGGCCAACTTGCCCCGAGAGAAGTAAAATAGTTGAGCCTACTTCAGTGTTTGAATGAAAAAAGTTCTGCCAACTTAACATTTTGAACTGTGTGCATGTTGTGTCATCAAAATAGCTATGTGAAATATGGACATGGTCAGCATTGTTCTAAAAGCTGTTTTAATTTTTACTAAACTTTTTTTAAGTTGTACCCCCTTATGTATTTATACAGAGCTGTTTAAATTAATTAAGTCATTGTGTCTCATTGGTTGCTCAACATACAGCAACATAAAAATTTAAGCATATATTTTGAATTTAAAACAGCTTGAAGACAAATAAGAAAATGTCTCAGTAGACAGTGGTTTGAAAACACTAATTTTGGTTGCATATTAACATTTAGTATACAGGATGCTACTCCAAATATAACACACACCATGCCCAATTACATTTTCCATTAAAAATAAAGTTAGTGTAAGTACATTTCCAACTCAAATGCTCCCATTCAAAATGTAACACACAAATTAACATATTCATGTTATCCTAATCTGCAGCATTTATCTTATTATAGTCCATATACTTTATCAGAACAAGTTCAGCTCTTGATAAAAACAAGTGCTGCAGTAGGTTGAAACTGTAAAAGTGTGAGAAACACGCCGCAAAAAGCGATTACAGTTTCACAACGCCACCATAATTTTGTTTTAGCTGTAAAATATATGTAATGTAGGACATCTTTCAGCCCAGCAATCACAAACAAAAGATCACCTTGTACATTGTATTCAATAAGCACACTCACACTAACACCCACAGTAAGTCATTTACTCACCCTGCACATTGTTCAATACAGTTATAAAGTTTTACTGGTCCTTGTCAGACACAGTGAGTATTGATGGTGATCAATTCAAGTGTTATCAGTGGATCATTTACTATAAAGGCCTGTGTGAGCAGCTTCACTACTGTACATTTATTAGTTTACTATTTACATGATGTATCGACTCAGATGGCAACTTTTAATTTCAAAATGATCTATACACCTAGAGCTGAACAAACTTATATCCAGTAGCTTATATTCTCATGAGAAAGACATCCTTACCTTTTCGGCTGAATGCTGCAGTGTGTGTGTGTTTGAGACTGTGTTTTGATCTGTCTCAGACCACACACTACTTGTGGAGATAAATCCATTCACTGTGAACTCTTCGTCGCTCAACATTTTTGACACATTATGTTACATTTCAGACGTATGTGCCATTTCGGAAAAAGACCAGATCAGAATGATTTGTTTGAGGGCACTTCTGGCATGTCATAAAAGTTTTAAAGCACTTTCTTCATGTATGTATGATTGAATTAAATGCACTCTCTTTCGTTTCTTTTTTGTTGTTGTTGTTTCTGGGTATTTTTTGACTTTGATGATACTACAGCTGAAGATAGACAGGAAAGGTGTCAGAGAGAGGGAGATATACTCTACCAGGTGAGAGGTCACCCCAACACTCACTCCCATTCTTGACTTTTATAAAATACTACTACTACTACTACTACTACTACTACCAATAATAATAATAATAATAATAATGATAATAAAACTAATCCCATGATTGACATTGAAAATATTTTGTCCAGCACAATTTCTGATGCCTTAACTGTGATTTTAAAAAGCAATAAGCAATACACAAAATAACCATTTGCTGCCATGTTATTTATAGTATTTATTTACTGAGTATTTTTAAATACTCAGAGACCTATTGAAAACCGTGTGAAGTAATGCTGTCACTTTGCTTTTATCCATGAAACTCATTAAAATGATACACAAAGAAAAGGCTGCAGGAGTAATCAAATGTGACTTATTTGTTGTATGTATTTACACTCTATTATTCAACCCTGCACTAAATGCAAGAAAAGATTTATATGTTTTCAGATAGCTTATATTTTATTTATTTCATTCTATTCTGAGCTGAAGAAAAAAATCAATGCTGGGTGAAAACAGTAAAAGCAGTGGCGCCCCCAGAAATGTTTCACAGGGGTGACCAGATGAGGCCACTGAAAATCCTGGGGTGGAACCAAACCCACAAGCCATAACTGAATTTCAGGAATTCTATTATGCTGTTGTTGCATATTAGCAAGCTGAAAACTATATCAGTATGAGAGTTAAGGAATCACATACTTTGTTTTCATATTTACGGTTAATGTTACTAATTACCTGATGTGCACAGACTAATACAGGTACAGTTAACATTGTGAGCTCTACAACAGTCCTGTTTTAGTATCATTTATATATCTGTACATACATGTTAGGCGATTTACTGTTCTTAAAATAGGCTGGTTGTCCTTTTCCATAAAAAGTATACAGCTTTAATTTGAAGAAGTGCATTGATTGTATGGAACAGAACACTTAATGGGAACGTGCCCTCTCAAGTTTGAAAACACCACACAAAGGCTTCAATCATTTTCAATTATTTTCACGAGGAAGGGGCCAGTGGTGGGCAGCTATTGTGTCAAGAGGTCCATGCCCCCACACCCCATTGACACCACTGAGTACAGCTCAACTCAATATCCTAAAACCTGTTCAGTCTATAAATCCTTAGTTCTCTGTCACATTGTCACAACTATTCCTTTTGTTGCTTTTTTGGATTTAAAAAAACTCCCTATACTATATTTAGAGACTTCTCTTATTATCTTTAGAAAGTGATTTGTTTCAATAAGAATTATAGTAACTTGTAAAAGAATGGTGATATGATGACTACACAATCTGGAAATCCCTTTTTAGTAATATTCAGTACTTGAAACTAATCCTACTAAATCCGGATTACTTGTGTTTGATCATTGGCCTCGTCCTCCCCATGAGGGCAGTGTTTCCAGTTCTGCTGATGCATCTCCTAAAAATTATTTCTGTATCTCTTGTTGCTGATCAAACAGCTCTAACATGTTGAGGTCACCATGTTGTGGTCCAAATTAGCCTTTCTTTATTTAATTGAACTCTTTTACAACTGGAGAGTCAGGGAGATGATGTTCTTCCGGCTGTAAAGATGACTGAAACAAATAACAAACTATGAAGTAACTTTAGAGTGCAGACTTTTTATTTTTAACCTTTTAGTATCTCCTGTGTGCCCGATGTCTCATGGACACAGCGTCAGGTTGTGCCAAAGATAAGTCAACATGTTGTAAAGTGACATTGTTTTCACTGGAGACCTCTGCTCAGCAACAAATTGAAGACTCGTTCATCAGAGCATGAGGCGGCAGCTAATTGTTTGAGGAACATAATAGTACGATCCACTGCTTCTAGGGGTTCCTGGTATCATGCTGCAGCCCTTCTGAAAAATGCAATAAAAGATTAAACCTGCCCAGAAAACTAATCACTGGATTTTAATCACATCAAATCTTAAATTGTAGGTGCCAAGAGAAACAAGTTTGTATATTAGTTTCTCATTGATAAAATGAGCATGAATAAAATTGCACAGTGGCACTTTTTTCTTTCTTTCTTTTTTTAAATATATCTTTATAAAATGTGCTTGAAAAAGAAATTACAACGTTTGTAGTAATACAGACACATCCAGCTACACAACATGAAATACACATCTGTTAATGAAGGCTGCAGACAAAGATAACCTTCACAATGTGTCTCCTTTATCTCATATTCTACTTAGTGTCCATGCTCCCGTAATGCTGCAGTAATGGCAGATCATTTCTAAATCAGTAAAGCTCTGCCACTTTAGGTCATGATGGCTTTAGCTCAGGAGGAGTGAGCTGTGCATAGACTTCATTAGCTGAAGGAAATGGACTACCCCTCTCCCTGTTAATGATTCATTTGCACAACAAGGTTCAGAAACTCACACCATTGTCCAGTGAATTCATTCAACACCCTGGATATTTTAAGGAAAAAGGCCTTAAAATCTGCATGTGTACCTGCAGATAAACTGTTTTAAAGCGTGTTTCCATCACAAACTCAGGAGTTCAGAAGTTCAGGTGGTAAGTTTGATTGTTATTTTCCATTCTTGATGTTTTAATTGCTTTACTTTTGGTGTTAAAAAGTACTTCAGAACTGTTTTATAGTATAAAGCCATAGTGACCTTACCTTTCTGATTATGGTTTAATTGAGGATTAACCAGTAATTAAAAAGGTGATGAAATTACGGTCAGTTATGTTCCTGATTTAGCTTTAAATGTGCTTTGAGAATTTGTTTTTATCAATTTGGAAGTGGAGCGAATTATGTGAATACTAGATCTGTCTTTTTTCTTTTAAATTTGGGCATTTTTCCAATGTCACCCAAGACTTGGGGACATTAGATATAACATTTGCACTGGATAATAATAACATTATATTCTGCAATATTTGCAATATCTTTGTTGGAAATTGACATTTTTATTCAAAATATTGAGAAATTAAAATAGATTTAATATTGCCATGCTAAGAACTTCTCTCAATAATGATTAATATGGCAAACAGTGTCTGTTACAGCCAGCCGTTAGTTACTTCATTATCACGGCTCTGCCCCAGCATTTTTCCAACAGTATTAGCCAGATGCAGCAGCCTTTTCTCCATGGTGACTGGGTTCACTGGCCACAGCATGAGACCGAGCACTTGCAGGAAGGAGGGTCATTAGAGTGTGACTTCACTCATGTAAATCCACAATCTATTTCGGTTCAGACGGGTATTTCGAGCGGCACGACTGCAGTGTTACTGAGGTGTGAAATGTTAAATTTCAGATTCAGATTTATTTACTCGAAGCCACAAACATTACTAGAGCGGTCCACTCCTTAGAAAAAGCATCCAAACTCTTAAAAATGCAATTGCGTAGTGAGTAGGTAATAATAGCCTCGGGTCATGTTGGCCTGTAACACCATTCTCGCCCTCTGTTCCTGTTTATATGGGAAAGTGAGCTCAGTGATTGGAGTTTGTTGGATGGTAGCCACACTGCTACAGCACAAGACTGATGTTTATATCTTGTTGAATTTCAAGTAAAGCATTCCTCTGCCACTGATTAATTTTCCACTAACACAATAAATTATAATGAATCTCAGATGTACTTTAAGCCTATTTCACCACAAAAGCATAACATGTTTTTCCTTTTTCCTCAGACAGCTTCATCAGTGCAAACATGAATAACATAAAACAGTGCAGCACGCAGATCGATGGGAGAAGATAATACCGAGAACACCTTCACTCTGGGGAGTTGTAGAAAATAATCCTACCCATTTGAAAAACAAAGATGAGGCTGGTTCTGTATTATGTGATAGTGTTGGGGTCCAGTTATGTCATCTCAACTTATGGGCCCCATCAGAGAGCACAGATGACTGGTGATATTTTGCTCGGAGGTCTTTTCCCCATACACTTTGGAGTTGCATCCAAAGACCAAGACCTCGCAGCCCGGCCTGAATCCACAAAGTGTGTTAGGTAAAACCTTGAGACATGTTTATGTGATTTGATTGAATGAGTGTGCTCATCTAGTCTAAGTCTGTGCCTTGTTTGCTTCAACAGGTTCAATTTCCGTGGCTTTCGTTGGCTCCAGGCCATGATTTTTGCTATTGATGAAATAAACAACAGCAGTACTCTCCTGCCCAACATCACCCTGGGCTACAGGATCTTTGACACATGCAACACAGTGTCAAAAGCTCTGGAAGCTACGCTTAGTTTTGTGGCTCAAAATAAGATTGACTCCCTGAATTTAGATGAATTTTGTAACTGCACCGATCACATCCCAGCAACCATTGCAGTAGTAGGAGCAGCTGGATCTGCAGTCTCCACAGCAGTCGCAAACCTACTGGGTCTTTTTTATATTCCTCAGGTAAGTTACCATAACAGTGTTACATTAAAACTCCACCTCAGTCATGGCTTAAAAGGTACACTGTGCAGGATTTTCCTAAAAAAAAAAGTATGCTCATACAAAAGTAATTCCTCTCAATCATTACTTTCACTAGAGTTGTGTGGTGCTGTATCTATCAGCAGAGACTTTATTGCCTTTATTCTCTTTTTATTTGCTTTGTTTGGGAGGTTCATGGGTGTGAAGCCCCCAGCCATTAACAATGTGCAGGTAAGGTCATGACTTTATAAAAAGGTAGCGACCAGGTAGTTGCAGCATGCATCCAAGAGGAAGCTATGAGAATCATGGACACAGCGCTGGAAAAAAGCAAATATAGTGAGGCCAAATGCTAAGAGGCAAGGCTTGCTTAAACATGACAGTGAATCTGGGTGAACAACGCAGATGTGGCCCAATTTCTGTTGGGCAGGTAGGTGCCAACAGTTAGCTTAGTTAGCTTGCTAAAGTATCAGATTTTCCACGACAACAAATGTAATGTTCCTACAACAGAAGCTTGCAGTGTACATACAAGTAGTGTAAAGGCTCACTTAAGCTCAACAGTGGATATGTATACAGACACGGAGGGAGCCTTCTGTTCATACTCTGCATCAGTTTTGTACATATTTGTGCACATTTTCTGAAAGCTTGCAGACACGGATGAAACAAAGTAGTATCACTGTAGCGTGTTTCAAGTGAGACACGACTGTAGGACATGCCGAAGACATTTAAAAAAATGGTGGAACGGTGGTGCAACTTCCTCCACCGTCACCATATTTGTTGGTGTCAGAAACTTTTGACGTTACCCTCTAGTGCCATCTTATAGATGTATCTATGCCATCATAAAGGATGCATGGAAGTATGTGGGCAGTGTCGGTTATAAAGTTTGATATTAACTGATTTTTCTTTGTATCTAAGAGGAGGAGTGGCCAAGTCTTAATGTTGTGTTTCCTGCATAGTCACATGGCAACCTTGTATCTTGAAAATGATGTCCACATACAATTAATTTGCAGTGGATTATACATTTTACAGGATAGGCCTCCTGAATGATGGGTTTATCAACAAAATGATAAAAAAAATTATACTGAATGAAGATAATTAAGCAGGACACAATAAAAACCTGATAGATTAACCTGAAATCTTTCCCGTTTCAGATCAGCTATGCCTCTTCTAGTCGCCTCCTCAGCAACAAGAATCAGTACAAGTCCTTCATGAGAACCATTCCTACAGATGAGTACCAGGCCACAGCCATGGCAGACATCATTGAGTATTTCCAGTGGAACTGGGTCATAGCCGTGGCTTCAGATGACGACTATGGACGTCCAGGAATTGAAAAGTTTGAGAAGGAGATGGAGGAGCGAGACATCTGCATTCACCTGAATGAGCTCATATCTCAGTACTTTGAGGATCATGAAATCCAAGCACTGGTTGACAGGATCGAGAACTCCACAGCTAAAGTCATAGTTGTGTTTGCCAGCGGCCCAGATGTCGAGCCTTTGATCAAAGAGATGGTGAAGAGAAACATCACAGATCGTATCTGGTTAGCCAGTGAAGCGTGGGCCAGCTCCTCTCTTATTGCTAAACCAGAGTATCTTGATGTTGTGGCAGGTACCATTGGCTTTGCTCTAAAGGCAGGACATATTCCTGGCTTTAAAGATTTCTTACAGCAAGTCCAACCAAAGAAAGACAGTCATAATGAATTTGTCAGGGAGTTTTGGGAGGAAACCTTCAACTGTTATCTTGAGGACAGCCTGAGACAGCAAGAGAGTGAGAATGACAGCACTAGTTTCAGGCCTTCGTGTACTGGTGAGGAAGACATCACAAGTGTTGAGACCCCGTACCTGGACTACACACACCTTCGAATCTCCTATAATGTGTATGTTGCAGTTCATTCTATTGCACAGGCCCTGCAGGACATACTCACCTGCACACCTGGCCACGGACTCTTTGCCAACAATTCCTGTGCAGATATAAATAAAATGGAAGCATGGCAGGTAAAATGTTGCATGTGTACCCAACGCATTTAAGTACCTAACCATTTATTTAGCCAGTCTGAATCATCCAAATGTGTGGTTCTGCCTCACAGGTCCTGAAGCAGCTCAGACATTTGAACTACACCAACAGTATGGGGGAAAAGATGCACTTTGATGAGAACGCAGACCTGGCAGCAAACTACACCATCATAAACTGGCACAGGTCAGCTGAGGACAGCTCTGTGGTGTTTGAGGAGGTCGGATACTACAACATACACATCAAGAGGGGAGCCAAGCTGTTCATTGATAAGACAAAGATTTTGTGGAATGGATACAGTTCTGAGGTTAGTCAAACTGTTTTGTAGAGGATGTTCCCATTAATGTACTCTGTTGTTCTCCCCTGTCATTTGGTCTATTTTTCCTCCTGGTATGATTAAATCAAAATTACAAGCAGATAATCACAGCAAGGACAGAACATACTGAAACCGATAAAAAGCTGTTCAGGGACATGAAAGGTTTGTAAATTATCAAAATTGCTGCAGGGCCCTATTTCCCTTCAGTCTTACAGCTAAAATGGCCTTGGAGTTATAACTGGACAATTGTATACATCAAAGCTACATCAACTGATTTTTGTCCACTTGGGGGCAGCAGAACTCATTGTTTATACAACACTGACATACTTAATGATCACCTTTTACACTTGTTATGCAAACATGTTAGCAGATAGTTACTTATATAAACTTATATAAACATACTTATATAAACATCCTGCAAACTCAGAGCAACATTAGTATTCATTCGGAGTCATTGTTGTGTCCATGTGATACATTAAAGTACAATATCCACTCACTGAAATGCCACAAATATTGATTCAGATTGTTTAGATGATTGATAAATGTTGTAAAAATTTTCGAAATTATAAAAAATCAAGGACGCAGTGCCAATGTTGTAACGTAGTCTGCCCTAACCTGCTGAATGACTGATCACACATCATGAAAATATTAGGAAACGTTTCTGTGTTGGTCACAATCCTGTGATTAATTTCAGTGCTATCTTCAGTGTTAGCTGTCTCAAGTGTCATAGACTGCCATTATTTTTTATAATCCAGCCTGAGAAAACAGTCGCTCAGTTCGAAAGAAGCCCTGATAATCTAATGCTTGATTCATACTTGACGCTTCAGCAAGGGTTGCAAGGCTATGCATGGACAAAATGACATCACACCATCAGACACACCCCTTTGCATGGGTCCTATGCTACTGTTTTTTTACATGTCTGTGCATATCCAAGGTTTTCTGACTCCGCAGACACAGTTGGGCGGAGAAAATGGAGATACCATGCTGTCGATGTGAGTTTTCAAGACACTGCCCCCCACAATTTGGGAGAATATAGGTTTGCCGCTAGGAGAAACCTGCGTGGAGTATAAAAGTAACTCATCACAATTCTGCATCAGCTCATGTCTGTGCAACCATTTGTGTGGAAAGCATAACTGAGGCTGAAAGGTTAAGGTGCCGACTATGAACTACAAGGTCGCTGATTCGAATCTAATGGGGGGGTCTTTTGTATGAATGTCTGGCTCTTGACTTCCTGTTGTTTTTCTACTGCTGACTTCATAGTAAAAGCAGATATGCCCCTAAAATAGTTCACCCTTTTCCAAACTCACTATTTTTTTATAGAAAACCTCAGACCAATTACATTTAAACACCTTTTTAGATGCATCATAACTCTATTTCCTGCTCTTTCTCAACTTTTCTGTCTGTTTACATCCTATAGGTGCCTTTCTCTAACTGCAGTGAAGACTGTGATCCTGGCACAAGAAAGGGGATCATAGACAGTATGCCCACATGCTGCTTTGAATGCACTGAGTGCTCAGATGGAGAGTACAGTTATCATAAAGGTATTGAGATGCCAAACATTTACAATCTCATGTTTGCTAATGTTACACCTGGCTAATGCTGATGCTCTAACACAGATTTTTTTTTTATACAGATGCCAGTGTTTGCACCAAATGTCCAAATAACTCTTGGTCCAATGGGAACCACACATTCTGCTTCCTGAAGGAAATTGAGTTTCTCTCCTGGACAGAACCATTTGGGATAGCTTTGGCCATATGTGCAGTGCTTGGAGTTGTCTTAACAGCCTTTGTGATGGGAGTCTTTGTCAGATTTCGCAACACCCCAATTGTGAAAGCCACAAACCGAGAACTGTCCTTCGTCCTCCTGTTTTCACTCATCTGTTGCTTCTCCAGCTCCCTCGTCTTCATTGGAGAGCCCCAGGATTGGACATGCCGTTTACGCCAACCTGCCTTTGGGATCAGTTTTGTTCTCTGTATCTCCTGTATCCTGGTGAAAACTAACAGAGTACTTTTGGTATTTGAAGCCAAGATCCCCACAAGCCTCCATCGTAAATGGTGGGGATTAAACCTGCAGTTTCTGTTGGTGTTTCTTTGCACATTTGTCCAAGTTATGATATGTGTGGTCTGGCTTTACAACGCCCCTCCATCCAGCTACAGGAATCACGACATCGATGAGATCATTTTTATCACCTGCAATGAGGGATCTGTGATGGCTCTTGGGTTTCTTATTGGCTACACATGCCTCCTTGCAGCTATATGTTTCTTCTTTGCATTTAAATCACGGAAACTTCCAGAGAACTTTACAGAGGCCAAGTTCATCACTTTTAGCATGCTCATATTCTTTATCGTTTGGATCTCTTTCATCCCTGCATACTGTAGTACTTATGGCAAGTTTGTTTCAGCTGTGGAGGTCATTGCTATTCTGGCATCCAGCTTTGGGATGCTGGCCTGTATCTTCTTCAACAAGGTCTACATCATCCTCTTCAAGCCCTCCAGGAACACCATCGAGGAAGTCCGATGCAGCACTGCAGCCCACGCTTTCAAAGTGGCTGCCAAAGCTACGCTGAAACACAACACAGCTGCACGAAAAAAGTCCGGCAGCATCGGCGGATCCTCTGCCTCGACTCCGTCCTCATCCATTAGCCTCAAGACCAACGGCAACGACTGCGACATGACTTCAGGAAAGCATATGCCTAGGGTGAGCTTTGGCAGTGGAACAGTTACCCTGTCCCTGAGCTTTGAAGAGTCGAGGAGAAGCTCCCTTATGTGATAGCCATCAGATCCTGACACACAGATGCACCCTATAGTGGCAGTATGAGACGCACAACACTGCGGCCTTTTTTTGACGCTCCAAGCAACTGCTGTAGTATAATGAGTGAGTGTCTGCATATGGTGTGCGGGAGGGAAGATGGATGAGTCAAACAAACTTTGGACTTTCAACCAGGAGACTGCTGTTTGTTTATCATGGAAAACTAAATGTCAATTATTTTAAAAACACTGTAGTGTGCTAATATGTGTAGCATGCTAGGCTAGTAATGTATGCCACATGATGTATATGACGTATGACTCGTGACATTACATTAGTAACAAACTTACTTATTTTAAGCCAAACCCTGTTGTTGTATCTAAACCTCACCACACACTTTTGTTGTCTAAATCTAAGGAAGTAAACCTAAAAACAAAGTGTTTTACCTAAATTCTAAGGTTATTTTGTGGAGACCGCATGCATTTATCAGGAGGGAACTACATTTCCTGTGAAAACTGATGTTCTTTTGAAAAGACATAACAAGAATAAATTGACACACCATCCCTGATTGTCCAAATCTGACGCTGGAGAGGTACTTCTGCATCATAGTTTGATGATGTTGATGATGTTGCCACTGACTAAGCATCTGTATTTGATGAGTTCAGAGTGAGAATGTGTTTTCATAGTATATGTGTGGATGTACCAAACTTAAGCTTCATCTGTCCGATCATGAGGGTGTACTCTTGGACTTTATGCTGAAATGCATAATAGATTTTTTCATCTTCCTATTTTCTAAATATTTTGTCTGAAAGATGACCAGTAATTTTCTGTACTTTACCTGACTCCCGTGACTGTTATTATTTTCATCATAACCCTGATGTACACTAAGCCTGTTGATAAGTTAATAAGATTTTGTACAATTAAAAACATTACATTAGATCCTAATCTATCTATCTATCTATCTATCTATCTATCTATCTATCTATCTATCTATCTATCTATCTATCTGACAACTGAAGCTCACTGACAAACTATCTGTGTAGGTAACACACCATGTTCAGCACAAAGACCTGACCGGTAACATGGAACAACATTTGACCACCAGAGGACAATCCAGGCTCTTAAATTGGGCAAGCGAGACCAGAGGATGTATGAGTCATGCAGTAAATGCACAATTACAGGATGTCGACAAAACGTTCCATACTTTGTAATTACGGCCTATTTTGGTCAATCACAAGACAACAAAAGAAAAGGAAGTGTAGTCACTCCACATGGCATTGCCCAATCCATGCCATCTTGTTCACAGTGACATTGGGTAACACAAAGTATGAAATAAATACATAAGATAGATTTGTTTGGGGAAGCATCATTGCTGTCATCACAGTCTCACAGGCTAAACCACAACATCAACAGTGTCCCCTCCCAAGTTTTGATACTCTTTTGGGGGGGGGGGGGGGTGTCAGTCTCATTTCTACATTTTGTCTAATGTTTAAAAATGACAAATGTTGTCACACAACAAGTTAAACCGTGGAGCTTGTAAAACTGAAATTACTTCATTTAGTTTGAAAGATCATGATAAACATGGACAATCATGCCAGGGTAAATAGCCCAAATTCTCTCAGTAATATAGATCTAAAAAACAAAGAAAACCCCCTGATTGAAACTAAACAAAAACATGGAGGTCTTCAGGACATTTTGGTGTAGATCTTTTGGAGAATTTTCTCTGCTTGCAGCTTGCTTATCACAAGTCTCTGACATCTGCAAACAGTGCAGGCCTGTCTCACATGTTAATGTCATTCTCACAGTAAGCCTACAGTCCACAGTCATGTCCTCACAGTATGGAGGAGGTATAGAGGGGAGGGAGGAGCAGCTTGGGGAGGGCACTGTTTATAACAATCCACTCTGTCTGACTGTCAAGGGTGAAGGAACTAAGCTACAACTATTTATCGTGTTAAAAAAAACTCTTAGTGGACTAATAATAAAACAATAAAATAATACAAAACAATATTCAAAGGGCCATTCTGCAGATGTTAAGTACATTTCCATGGTAATACTTGTGTATTGAAATTGAATTCAGATTTTTGTTGTGCATAGTTTTACTTTAACTAACTGTAAGAAAAGGATCTGAGTACTTCCTCTTTTGCATAATTAAGTGAAGTGAAATGCTTATGTAATGGTAGTTGAGAAGAGAAAAACTTATTAACAGTGTTCGCTCATGCTCTGAAGATATTCTTTGAGGCATTTGGGAACATAATAGGTTAAATGTATGTCTGTGACTAGAGGCTAGCCAAGGCTTAAACATTTACAGCTCGACAACGCCACCGTAGGAACTGCACCCAAGGAAATATGTCCCAGGAAATATCTGTTGCAAAATCCACCACAAAATACATTAGCATTACAGTAAACCAAAAAGAAAATAAATAATAATAAATAAATAATCAAATTAACACAATAAAGAGCAAAGCAACAGCAAGGAACAGAGAGATATATACATCTTAAACACTTTGTAATTTTAGACACGTATCTTTCTAAAAGGGAATCTCTCAGCAGTAGAAGGACACAAGAAAAAGTAGGGAAAAAGGCGTTTGAGGAGTGCAGACCTCCCACATCGCTCAACAGGATGATGACATGCTGAGCCATCTAGAATCAAGACTGATCTGAAGCAGGCTGAAGAGCAGCTGGACACCCACCTCCTCTGTTGGCAGGAGGACAGGACCTTTATCCTCAAAGCCAGTGTGGCCCAGCAGGTGGGATGAGACAGATTTTGGACAAAATGACCAGGAGGCTTTGCATGATGGGGATTCATCTTGATGGGAATGTTTGTCATGGCCAAGGTCTTTGCTAAGAAAGAGAAGAGGACAAGATCATTTCAAACAAAGGTTCTAACAAAGTCCTGCAATTATTCAAATAAAGAATGTTAGCACACTGACACAAGTGTGCACACAAATATTACACAACACAGTTTCAAATCCCCCCAACCCCTTCACCCCTTTGACTAAATCATCATTATGTTCTATAAAGCGGTGCTTTCATTATCTAAAGCATTAATGGGAAAAGTATACTGAATAAAACTGAAGAAAGATCCTTTAGCCAACATGCACCTGATTCCAGGGACTGCTAAAATCCTATATTTGCACCAGAACCTTGAAATCATCAGATTCCAGGACTAATATTGGTCCAGCATCTAATCAATCCATAAAAAAACTGACATATTGCTGAAGTCAAATATACATGCCCTTATTAGTATTGCGAACAACACTGCTGAAATAGCTTTGCAGTGGCAAAGAAACATGAAGCAAATGTATGCAAATATATAGATGCAAATAAAATACTGAAAGAAAAATAGAAAAATATTATGTAAATCAGAATTAGGTCCGATGTCAACGGGAAGAATGACCTGTATTTTGAAAACCATACAAAGGAAGTATCTACACAAAACATGCACCATGCTTTGAGCTTCATCAAGCTACTTAAAACCAGGCAAAAAGCAGCAATGACTTCCTGTTTGTAGATGCTGCCTTCAAAGTGAAAGCGACTGAGGAGCTTCTGCTCCAAGAGATTTTTCCCATCATAGTTGTCAGATCAAATGAATCCCTTGCAAAAATGCATATAAATATATATTTCTTAAAAACAGACACTTGTGAGTTGATGGGAATGGATTGCTTAAATTGAAAAGCATTTTCTGTAATACATGCCATATGTAGTGTATAGAGTTTAGAGCAGGGGTGTCAAACATATGGCCCCAAAGGGTCCAATCCGGCCCACTGGATGACTCCGCACAGATAATAGCAATGCACTGTTAAAGGCTACATGGTGTCAAGTTTCAGGAGCCAGTTTAACAGTTTTTCACCCTGACACAAATACAGTTCTCTGAAAAACAATGAATACTTATTGTGGTCATATTTAACTTGATACTGAATATTGCGTAAATTATTGTAATTCAGAAGCGGGTGCTGTTGTTATTATTTATGGGTTATTATGAAATGGTTTTATTTTTATTGAGATCAAGCTGGGCTGTATGTGGCCCATGAACTAAAATGAGTTTAATATCCCTGGGAGAGAGTTAAGTATAGCCTCATGTAATGTATATGCTTTTATTATGAAATACAACCGACGGAAGTACTCTGTATTTCCGCCAGCTTGACAAACTGTTATGTGCTGCTACTGAATTGATAACCTGCAATGACGGTAATTTGTGTCAAAGGTAAGATGCGCCAATCAAACCAGTTACGTTATATTATCAAAAGACAGCAGACACTTGCGTTTCACTTAAATCTGGTCAGTTTGTGTTCGGGCTCCGTGATGCGCTACTGTTAGCTTAATGTTTAACTTTTACAGCACTTTCACAGTAAATCCACACACCGTTACATCCGCATTCGTCAGCTAGCTAACAGCTAATAACGTTGCGTTAACTCTGAGCTCATCTGGGCACAGCTGCAGCCAGCTCTCGGAACAGATTAGAGACATCACTGTTAAAAAACATGGACAGTGATCGGGAGAAGAAGCAGCTGTCTGGGATGTAAAAGAGGTAGTGTCCTACATATAGTATTTACATAAAGATATCATGGTGTTGCTCTGAACTAGCTAGTGCTAGCTTCTCACTGTCAATACCCCAAATTACCATGAGCACACAGTGACGGAGGCGTGAGGGGGGAAAGCTAAAAAAAATGTCAAAGCTTTAGTCTTAAACGCGTTTTCCTGCTGGAGACAACAACCTAGACATGACAGTTAACATTAAATTAATACTAGCTACTGTGTATTGTGTTCATGGTCACTGTTCTGTGTTGTATAACCTGGGGAGTGTTGCTTTGCTATATCGATATATTGTATTAAGTTGTATCTGATTGTTTAATGTATTTTGTTTAGTGTTGAAAAGCAGGGCCAATCATTCAGATTTTGTTTTGTCCTTGTACAATGAATATCCTAGTTTTGTGCTGCTGATCAGACAAAACAAGTAATTTGAGATCATAATGTGCTGCACACTTCTCTGGCATTTTTGGATCTATGATTAATTGATCAGTCTGTAGTGTAATCGATTTAGAAAGTCATGGATTTGGTTAGATTAGTACAATTAACAAGTTTTGAAATGGTTTATATTTCTGTATTGTCATATGTTCAGTGTTTTGGGACATTATCATTTATTATTTTTTGTGACTGTGGTTATTGGTAGAGTTGGGGCACATGGGTAAGGGCGGTGACACTCAATCTATATGAACATCTCATGTTCACCTGTGTGGTTTTTGGTTTTGGTTGGAGAGAGAGGGTGAGTGGGTTGCCATAGTTTTGGACAAAAATGTAGTGTCTGCAGGAAACAAGCTAAAAGTTGCTGAAAGACTGAAGCTGGGCCTGGTTAACTTGTGTGACATGCTAACAAAAGATTTGCTGTGATCCAAAATATGTTATAATAAGTTGTTTCCTTTTCATTAATAAATGTATTTAATGTATTTTGGATCTCAGCAAATCTTTTGTTGGTGTGTCCCACACGTTAACCAGGCCCAGCCTCAGCCTCTCAGTGACTTTTAGTTTGTTTCCTGCAGTCCCTACACAGTCAACAAAATAGATTAATCAATAATAGAAAATATTTAACAGATTAGTAGTGAGGAGACAGGTGACGCGCTGCAATGTGATACCAAACCTTGTCAAGGGGAACAGAGAAAGACAGGCATTTAGTTACTGGGTGTGAAATTACCATTCAGGAAGCTCTTTCAGTGGTGTGTAACAGAATAAACGGCTCTGAACACAAAAGAAAAATGAGAACTGGTATCTTGGTTTGTTTTCTAAGATAACATCTCACCATGTGTTTTTGTTCTATGAAAAGTAAAGATATCTTTTTTTTTAAAACTAGAACCTGTACTGTCAGGGTGTAGTTTTGCACGAGAAGATGTGCTATTATTATGCAAATATGCTCAGTCATAGCAGTAACACCTTTTCTCTCTCAAAATCAATATACAGTTGTCGGAGAAGTCAAGGTTTTTGCCTCACCCCCTGAAGCTGGATTTTGAGGGTTCAGCGATGGATTTTCACCAATAAGTTTTCCTTACTTCACAGAGCTTATACACTTGATTCACTGTTTTGTTCAGCAGCATGTTTCGCCGCCATGGGATGACTGGTCAGTGAAACTGTGACTCACAGTATTTCTGCTGAAATGTCCTGCACAGACGAAATACCTTAAACTAGAACTAACAGCATCTACGGTTGCCATTTTACTATTTGACATCAGCGCAGTCACACAGCCATGGGTTTCTGTTCGCCTGTGTGCAAGATTTTGCGGAGGGGAAAGTATTTTGTACTGCTCCTTCTCTCGCTCTCAGTGCTTGCATGGATCGCGACTTTTTCAGGCGAAACAGTGAAATCTGGACAGGTTTCCTCTGCCACGCCACAGACTCTTGCCAAAGGAGACACCCTAAGGGATAAAGTCAACACTTGGACAGCGGCACCCGATCACGTAAACACTCCAGCACCAAAAGAAGAATGTCCTGAGGAGTCACCATTGCTACGTAAGTATACATAAAAGTGCAGCTTAAAAAGATGACTGTGTATGTTATTTTTTATTTAGTTGTGTTTAAAATTTTTGCTTAAAAGAAAAATGATCTTCTCAGAAATAATTTAAATCTATCTGTGTGTGGTGCCATCTTGCTAAACAGGAAGTATTTGTTTGTAATCTGTTTCATGTTTCTGTAAATTCTCCACCTTTACGCTGACTACATGTCAGTGTAGATGAAAGAGCGGTAGAGTAGATAACTTAACTGTTATCTAGTCAACCAGACAAGGGCTTGTACCACTCATTAATCTGTGAAGCCACCTTGAACATTGGGATACAGCAGAGTGGTTACATTGTGCTGTGCATGATTATAAATTATTTTGACTTGTAAGTACATGTTTTTTGCCTCTGCACTGGCAATAGCTGTGGCTGGAGGTATTATGTTTTAAGGTTGTCTGTCCATCCGTTCATCTGTCCATAAATACGTATGTCCATTTGTCCTATGAATGCGATATCGCAAGACCACCTAGAGGGAATTTCTTCAAATTTGGCACAAGGACTAAAGGATGAAGATGTTAGTTGTCACCGGTCAAAGTTCAAGGTCACTGTGACATGGTATTTCAAAAAGCCCTTAAGGGAGTATCTTCAAATGTGGCACAAACACCTACTTAAAATCCAGTTTTAATATTTTAGAATATGGTGGCCAGAGGTCACTGTGACCTTGCGTCCGTCTCATTTCATGAACGTGATATCTCAAGATGGCCTTGAGGCACAAATGTCCACTTGGACTCAAGAATGAACTGATCAGAATTTGGTTGTCGAAGGTCACTGTCAACTTCACTGTGAAATCTGCAAAATACTTTTCTAGCCATTATTCAACGTCAGATCTTGAACTGGTGACACTAATTTTGGGTGTTCACCTTGAACCCGAGATCCTCTGTGCTGCCGGGGGAAAGGTGTGTGTGTGAAGCATCCATGTTTTCACAGACATGAATGCAAATGGAAGTGCATCGTCACTGATCTATGTATGAGGCATACAACTGCAAGGCAGTAATTCTAGTTTTTAATTGTCTTACATGAACCATTATAATGATAGAAATCAATTGTGAATTGCATTTATAGGTGCTACATATTGTCTATCCTGCATAGATTTAAAAAGGGAGCAAAACAAACAGTCTGAAAATGTGATATGTACTGCCTTGTGAATCACGTTTAACAGAACAATCTCTAAGACTCATATCTGGTTGAATTTGCTAACTTCCATAGAGGGAGCTGTGAAGCTGTCATTTGAATCCTCTCTGAAACTGAAGGATGTGGAGAGTGAGAACAAAGGAGTGACTGAGGGTGAATACGAGCCCTCGGACTGTACAGCGAGGCAGAGCGTAGCCATCCTCATCCCTCATCGCAGCAGAGAGAGACACCTCCTCTACCTCTTACACCACCTGCACCCCTTTCTGCAGAGGCAGCAGCTACACTACGCCATTTATGTCATCCAGCAGGTACTGCTCCACATCACACACCATTTGATATCACACGGTTCTCATATAAAATCAATTCAGTTCATACTGAGAGCACTGATCTATGATATTTGGAAACTGCACTAAGTTGTAAGAATTCTTTTTCTGTTTATTAGTATTAGTAAATTCTTTCGTTGAAATGATCTTTTTTTGTTTTGCTAGTAATCCTCACAATTTCTTTACCAAAAGTAAAAATTGGTATCATTGCATACAAGCTTATTCTTTGAAAACTGTGATTGTCAGTTTCGATCATGTCCTGTCAATCAAAAATAAAAAGTATAGAATCTGAGTATGACCAAATGTGATGCAACTGCACTTAAGTGTCTCACTCGAAGTGGGGTTGCATGAGTTTCTTATCCATGGTCACTTTATTACATGCACGCCCCTGTTTTGGGGGGGCAGCAGTTAAACGTATTTTAGTCACCTAAATAAAGGCCCATTAAAAAAAAACAAACACTATACACACTATATTTAGAATATTTTCACCACTTTACCTTACCGAAGACAGCCCCCTCCGAAGGGGAAGCCATTAATGGCTTGAGCTCCCTATCTGTGCTCACGTCAAAGTCCCCAGACTCCATTGAGAAAAAATGTGATTTTAGTTTGCTGAACTCTGGTTGGGCCAGTGGACAATGCCATTGTCCATCGCTGACGACAGTCATCAACTACTGAGCCCCGAATCCAAACTAACCCCTTAAAACATCAAAGTCTCACAATAACACAAACAAAATAACTGATTGAGGCAGAGGTAAAGCAGCGGCTTCTGTGCTCAGAGATGTTAAATCCCTGTTTTTCTCAGTGGAGTCTGGCTTTGAAGAGAGCGACTTCAGTTCCCTGTCGGAAAAGGCTGTCTGATGGCACGGTAAATATTTCTAAATATAGTGTACGCTTAAACTGATACTGCCTTTTTTAGATCGCTAAAACCCATGTTGCTGCTGCCACCCCCACAGTAGTACATTACTTAGCTTCTGTGTCAGTGCTTCTGTCTGCTTCTGCAAACTGGGGGTTGTCGACTGACATCTACTGTTAATACAGTGACTATGGATAAGTACGTCATACAACCCCACTTCAAAAGATCCCAACTATCCCTTTAAGTGAAGAAATGAAAAAAACTATTATGTTAATAAACTTTTTTGACAAATGACAAAATGTCGAGCAGGTAAAACATGAAACTTCCAGGAAAAAAAAATCAACCAACTGTGGTTGCACAATCTTTTTCTTTAAATACTTTATAAATGTGTTTCAGTCAGCAGTTTTTGTATCAAAGCATCGCTACTGGAGACATAAAATTTGTAACACTTGTAGACTTCAAAGACTTAATGAATGCAACAACTTAAGTTCAGTGATGCAAAAAAAAAAGAAACAGCTGCTGAAAACAAAGAAACAACTGAGGCCAAACATTTTCACATGCCAAAGGCAAATCATCTGCAACCACATAAGTACTCAGTACTCCAAGAAGAAAGGATTATTATCAGTTACTAGATGGCAGAATGTGTTTAAATAAAAACATGCAAATCAACAGTGTGTCAGCACTAGTTGAATTATTAGCTTATGATTTGAATGCACACCGTGTGTGTTCCTCTTTGCCTCAATTTTATGAAATACTTTATAATATTCTGCTACTGAGGCAGCGTCTGACTTTCATGGTGATTGCTTGTAAAAATCAACCAGAATAAAGCACATTAAACTCCTACATCATTCACATGCTAAGCAGTCTGTGTGCGATGACACCACCAGTTATTCAATAACTGGCCCACACAAGTATTTAATAATTTCTCTGACCTATGGCTGTGCTGTAGATGACCTTTACACTCCTACCTACTGAAATCAGTTTTCAATGGAGAAAGGATACAACAGAAAAAAACCCTACACCTACACTGATCTTTGAACTATACATAGTCCATAAAAGACAATAGCAGATTGTGATTTTTATCGTGTTTTCTGTGTTATCAAAGGCTGGTGATGCAACTTTCAACCGTGCCAAGTTACTCAATGTCGGGTATTTGGAGGCACTGAAGGACTACAGTTGGGAGTGCTTCATCTTCCATGATGTGGACCTTGTTCCTGAAAATGATCATAATTTATATGTCTGTGACAAGCAGCCCAAACACTTGGTGGTTGGCCGGAACGCCACAGGATACAAGTAAGTATACGACCAAATTTACTGTGAATCATCAGTCAGCAGTTAAATTTTATATTACCCCTGTGAATAGACAACACAGTATTAACAGTCTCCTCGAGCCCAATATTATCTTGAAAGCCCTGATAACATCTCTAAACACAGAACTGTAATTTTTCTTCACATTCTTCCACGCTCAGGCTGCGTTACAAAGGCTACTTCGGAGGAGTCACAGCTATGACCAAAGACCAGTTTTTTCAAGTGAATGGATTCTCAAACACATACTGGGGTTGGGGTGGAGAAGATGACGACCTTCGCATCAGGTGAAACACAAACAAGAAAATTGTAGTAAAGTGTTTCTTTTTTATGTATATGTTCTTTCACTGGTTTACTGATACATATGGATCTGCTGTCTGCAGGGTGGAGCTGCAGAAAATGAAGATTGTGCGTCCGCCCGCTGATGTGGCTCGCTACACCATGGTGTTTCACAAACGGGACAGTGGCAATGAAATAAACAAAGACAGGTCAGTAAGTGTAAGATGAGGATAATGTGTTAAGCTTATTTCAGCACACTATTAATCAATAAAATGTATGATTTGTGCTGCTAGTTTAATCTCTTCATTGATGATTTTTTTTGCTTCCCAGGATGAAGTTGTTGGGACGAACACCACAGGTGTGGAGAAAGGATGGACTGAACAGCTGCTCATATAAGACTTTGTCGATAGAGAGGTTCCCTCTTTACGTGAATGTTACTGTGGACATTGGTAAGCCACAGAGTTGAGATTTCAAACAGGAACCCCCCCTCCGCTGTGACCAAAAATTATTTTATATTTTCTACAGTATGTTACGGCCACTGAGTGCAGGAAGGTGACTACATGTGTACGAGACTCCATATTAAGCACACAAAATGCACATTGTTTGAATTAGTTTACATTATGAAATTAAGTGCACATTTCTGCATATCATGCTGCTTTTAATTCACCATATTGTTACCAGTCTGCAAAACAAAATCAATGAGTGTTTTTTTTTTTCTTTTAAGTAATAATTGGCTTTGGTCAAACAAAGAAATTGCTGCAATACAGCTGCCAGACTTAGATTAACTTATTCATATGCCTCATTATTTGCCTGCATAATATAATACAGCATAAAACATGCTGATATTGGACAATGTGTATTTTGTGTGCTTTATTCTACAGCTGCATCGACTTTTTCTAAACATCTACAGACACAAGCATTGTCACTTGTTTTGCCTAACTCGATCTTGTCTTAGGAGTGTCTGTGAGGCACAGATTGATCTCCCTTTTTTTGTTCCTGTAATATTTCTAACTAGCATGTGGTGACCTCACACATTTCCCAGAAGTCTAATCAGATAAACTGAGAAAATATCTTTGTAGGTGTGCAGAGCCCTTAAGATTAAGTTAATGTTTAGAGACATCACCCCCCCCCCCTTAAGAGTCATCATTGCTTAACAGTGTTGAAGCACAGTTGATGTAATCAGGCTTTTTAGGTACGGATCACAAAAATAATCTTTAATATCTAAATATAAATACATTAAATCATTTAAATGAATTACAAACAAAATGATTACTAAGTAGCAACATGGTTTCTAGGTTAAATGCATCTTTAACTGCGGAGTCTAACCATTGGTTAGTCAGTGTTCTGGCAAAAACAATAATTAGAGGACCACAAAACAAAGTAATGGCCGTTTCTATGTTGTTGTGTTTTGTTTTTTTTTTAAAGATTATTTTTTTGGGCTTTTTGCCTTTAAAGGACAGGACAGATTGAAATGGGGTGAGAGAGAGTGGGGGTTGACATGCAGCAAAGGGTTGCAAGCCGGAGTCGAGCCTGCGACCGTTGCAGCGAGGCATAGCCTCTGTACATGGGGCGCCGGCACTATCCACTACGCCACCGACGCCCCGTTTCTATGGTTTGTTGACTGATACAATAATAGCTGTCTCAGGCCTTGGATGGCACGGTGATGCAGTGGCTAGCACTTTCACCTTACAACAAGCTGGTTTGGGGTTCGAACCTGTGCCCATCTGTGTGGAGTCTGCATATTCCCCCATGTTAGCGAGGGTTGTCTCAGAGAAAACCTTCAAAGGTCAGGTTACAGTAATTATTGACTGTGTGTGTGTGTGTGTGTGTGTGTGTGTGTGTGTGTGTCAGCCCTGTGATAGTGTTGTAACCTGTCCAGAGTCTGCCCCACCTTTACCCAGTGACAGCTGGGATGAGCTCCCCACACCACCCTAAGTAGGACAACAGGTTACAGATAATGTATGGATTGATCTGAGGTCTTTCTCATCTTAAACCTTGCTAGTAACATACTCCTCTTTTCATAAAGTGAGGAAATAAACCAACAAATATAATTACTTAGGGTATAAAGGGACAATAACAAGAACCCTGGGTACAGAAGAAGAAAAGGCTCAAGGACATCTGAAAAGCAATAATAATATATAGAGGGCTGGTCATATCAATTGATATTCAATAGAAATATGTTATTGTGAAAACTGATCATGTATATTGATAGTGGTCAACTGTTAGAACATTTCTGCTCTTGGGATTTGGTGGCACTTTAAAGATCGGACTGCTCTAGAATAAACCTATACTATTAGTTAAACACTAAAAAGAGGCTCAGGCTGCCTTATGCCAACTGACTTTATTCCCAGAACTTAATAACCTTGACCAATTTTTTTATTTTTTTTTTATCTTGAAAAGTAGTTTCTTTGAGCCAAAATGATAAGATATGATTTCTTATGTTGCATGACTTTTAATATATGGCCTTATATGCTTTTTTTAAGCAGGCATTGATGGGTGGTGGATTCTTATTTATTACATTAACATGTTTAAAATGATAACTGTAGTCTTTTGAGACCAATCAGTTTAACTTTTTTTACTGTTATCCTATGTGAAGAAATTTCCGTCTAGAAAAAGCTGCATACTTATGCTTTTGATCACTGCATGCTGCCTTCAGCAGTGCCTTCACACTGTCGCTGAACTGCATCTGCAGTTTGCTGTTGCCATTATGAAGCTCCCAAATGAGAGTTACATTGTTTTACATTTCAAAAAACCGAAGTACACGTTTTCTAGATTGTTGGCGGTCTGACCACCTGTGTCATGTTCACTTTTTGGTCACATTTCAAACACGAATGAATGTCTTATGGTTGTTTTTCTACTGTGGGTTGAAAACTTTTACATGTGAAAAAATATTATTAAGCTTCGACTCCTCAATAGGATTTTGTAAAATGATAGCAACCAAGAAAATTTTGGTAATATTGTAGCATCGAACATCTCACTGACATATTTTATTTGTACTTTATATGAAATCATTGTATGAAATTCAAAGTGATGCCATATTAACTCTTTGGGAATGTCACCTGGTGGATTTATTTCGAATGTTTGTTTGTTGATTTGGGATGATTTGTCTTTTTGTGTGTGTGTGTGTGATGATGGGAGAAGGAGATCATGCTTTTCACTTCTAATAGAATTATTTTCTCTTTAGAACTCATGTATAATAAATAGTATTTTTTCTTATGAATTGTCTTGTGGTTTTTTTATATGTTCCATAGCAAGAATTAATGTTTTGGCAGTACAATTTTGGTTTATCTGATAAGATATGCACTTAAATATATGTAACAGTGTGTATATTCTTTCCTATCAGTGGTTTCAGGATGAAACAAACCTCCTCTATAAAGCTCCTTTCTGCTCATTTAGCAACCCCCTACCTAATTGACTGTATTACTTGTATTTTATGGACTTAATGTAACTGTATGATGGTAGTATATTGCACAGAAGTAGCACCACCAACAGCTTGCAGTACATGGATCTGACCAGTGGGGGGCCTTAAGAGCACAATATCCACTATTGGAAAAACATGAGTGAGATCTCTTATCCTGTTTAACTGCAGAAAGATTGCCTTTTATTGCCAAGCAGTTAATGCAGCAGTAGCCTTAATTCATCATAGTAACAAAATAACAACCAAATGAATTCTTGTTTGGCTGAAATGAGGGAAAATGTCACACACATCACAAGAAAGGATCATATATGTAAGCTAAAGAAAGCAGATTTAGGGGGGAAGCATACATGAATGACCAATCAGACAAGATTTAACTGTTGTTTTGCCTCAAGAAGACAAATACAAAAGACTGGAAAGGTGGTAAATATTTTTAAAAGATGAAATAATAATAATAATAATAATAATATAAAATATTTCATTCTCTAGGATTTGAATGTAAATGCACCTGTATGATGCTAAGTCATAGTAAATTGTAACAGGTCTCCGTTTAGGCCAGGAGTCAGCAACCTTAACTATCAAAATAGCCATTTTTGACCAGCAATATCTAAAAAAAAAATCTGCCTGGAGCTGCAAAACATATTTCAGCCATATGCAAACACTGTGTATTAAGTGTAAGTTAGCATATCGACATTAACATGCGTCTAAATGAGCATTCAAATACATGTTTTCCCACAAGATGGCTCTTCTGCAGTGAGCTTTTTATGATTATTTGGTACTTCAACATTGCAGCCTTGGTGATGAAAGCAAACAAATCTGTCCACACACTATTAAATTCTGTATTTTCCTCTGAGACTTTTACTTTTATAAATTTGAAATCCATAGCTAGCCTTTCTAGGGAGGCTGAAGACTAACCTCCGCTGTTGAGGCTTGGCAAAATTTAGTGGAAAAAGTGCCAAGCTGTAGATGTATGACACACATTTTGGTTGACGAAATAATAAAACTGCATTTTTTTATATTTTTTATTTATTTATTTTGAATCTTTTTTTTTTATTTATATTTTTATTTTATAAATAAAAATGACAATGTTAAAACAATAAATGAATAACAGTTGTTCATTTTCATGTGATATTTTTTGTTGAAGCCACAGAGAGCCACTGTAGAGGAGCTAAAGAGCTGCAGGTTGCCCCTGGTTTAGGTTTAACACTGCATTACTTGGTCAGTGACAACAGCTCCTCATAGTCCCATTTAAAGCAGAATAGTCCTCCATTGTCTCACATTGTTGGTGAGAGCACAGATACTCAGTGTGAATGTAGACTAAGGCATCCAAAACATGACTTATCTATGCACTACCCCAGTTATACGGCTGAGTGCAAGTGGAACCTATTTCACAATTAAATTTTCAGTTACAAATCAACAGGAACACGTTATGATTCTACCTTCTGTCACAAAGCAGAAGTTACGTTATGCTGCAGAAATACCACAATGTTGCAACACTCTGATGACATGTACTAAAAGTAAGGACATGAAAAACCCCTTATTATTCAGATACAATGAACTGTCTTCTCAGCATAGACCTACTTTTTTTTTTTTAAAACCAGTGCAAAGAAAGAGCGGGATGTCTGAGGCTTTGTATGGACAGAATGATGTCACCTCCTCTTCCTATGGTGCAGAAAGAAAGCTTTGTCTTGTTGAGGCCAGGCTTGGTCTTCAAGATCACATGTGACATTCACAAAACACTTTTAGCACAAAAATATCAACTCTGGGAGTCAGAACACTACGATCTAGTCTATAAACAAGTCCATTCAGATATGTTAAAATGTCAGTTCAGCCTACTATGTGTACTGTACTGTTCCTGCCTGTATATATAGTAAATGCAAGAATTCACCAGTGGTATGTTTGTATCTTATTTGCAAAAGCAAGCAGAGCAATAATTAATGGAAAGTAATTTCTCTGTCCTCTAGATTGAATATAAAGTCCTTGGTTAAGCTCACGGATGTTCTGAAAAGATTTAAGTACTGGATGAAAATTAAACTGTCTTTTAAATTAAAATCGTGCCTGAATGTATAATTATTTTTATTGCAGTGTTTTGGGGCAGCCCAGCAGCTCAGTGGCACCTTTGTACAGCAAAAGTTCTGTGTGGAGTTTGTGCAAGTTTCCTCTGGGTGCTCCACTTTTCTCCCAAAGATCAAAGTCATGCAGATCAAGATAACTGAGCCACTGCGTGATGTAGGCTCCCCAGTTATCTTGACTAGGAATAGGAAGGTAGAGCAGGATGTATGCAGTGTTAAATCTGCGCACAGATTAAGTTTTCTCTAAGAAAGCATGCAAAAAGTACTTGTAGTGAAGGATCCCCACAGAAATATCACCCAACTCTGTAATTTCTCTCAGCTGTACTCAGAGATTTTGATCTTTTACCTCATTGTTTTGGTTTCTGGCCTGTAGCTTAACTTTTTTACTTCACTCATACCGCTCTTATCAGCGTCATTTGCAGCCACAGCTTTGTAATGTTATCACTCAATTAGACGGGCGTTATTTGTGATTATCGGCCTCATATCTACGGATATACTACACCTTTTAGTAGGTTTGGAAGGCCATTATCAGCCCATTAAATGGTCATTATCAGTTGTCATCTGGAGCAGTTTTGTTGGGTTTCAGTTTCAGTCCTGTTAGGTACATACAGTACAGGCCAAAAGTTTGGACACACCTTCTCATTCAATGCGTTTTCTTTATTTTCATGACTATTTACATTGTAGATTCTCACTGAAGGCATCAAAACTATGAATGAACACGTGGACTTATGTACTTAACAAAAAAAGGTGAAATAACTGAAAACATGTTTTATATTCTAGTTTCTTCAAAATAGCCACCCTTTGCTCTGATTACTGCTTTGCACACTCTTGGCATTCTCTCCATGAGCTTCAAGAGGTAGTCACCTGAAATGGTTTCCACTTCACAGGTGTGCCTTATCAGGGTTAATTAGTGGAATTTCTTGCTTTATCAATGGGGTTGGGAACATCAGTTGTGTTGTGCAGAAGTCAGGTTAATACACAGCCGACAGCCCTATTGGACAACTGTTAAAATTCATATTATGGCAAGAACCAATCAGCTAACTAAAGAAAAACGAGTGGCCATCATTACTTTAAGAAATGAAGGTCAGTCAGTCTGGAAAATTGCAAAAACTTTAAATGTGTCCCCAAGTGGAGTCGCAAAAACCATCAAGCGCTACAACGAAACTGGCACACATGAGGACCGACCCAGGAAAGGAAGACCAAGAGTCACCTCTGCTTCTGAGGATAAGTTCATCCGAGTCACCAGCCTCAGAAATGGCAAGTTAACAGCAGCTCAGATCAGAGACCAGATGAATGCCACACAGAGTTCTAGCAGCAGACCCATCTCTAGAACAACTGTTAAGAGGAGACTGCGCCAATCAGGCCTTCATGGTCAAATAGCTGCTAGGAAACCACTGCTAAGGAGAGGCAATAAGCAGAAGAGATTTGTTTGGGCCAAGAAACACAAGGAATGGACATTAGACCAGTGGAAATCTGTGCTTTGGTCTGATGAGTCCAAATTTGAGATCTTTGGTTCCAACCGCCGTGTCTTTGTGAGACGCAGAAAAGGTGAACGGATGGATTCCACATGCCTGGTTCCCACTGTGAAGCATGGAGGAGGAGGTGTGATGGTGTGGGGGTGTTTTGCTGGTGACACTGTTGGGGATTTATTCAAAATTGAAGGCACACTGAACCAGCATGGCTACCACAGCATCCTGCAGCGACATGCCATCCCATCCGGTTTGCGTTTAGTTGGACGATCATTTATTTTTCAACAGGACAATGACCCCAAACACACCTCCAGGCTGTGTAAGGGCTATTTGACCAAGAAGGAGAGTGATGGAGTGCTGCGGCAGATGACCTGGCCTCCACAGTCACCGGACCTGAACCCAATCGAGATGGTTTGGGGTGAGCTGGACCGCAGAGTGAAGGCAAAGGGGCCAACAAGTGCTAAACACCTCTGGGAACTCCTTCAAGACTGTTGGAAAACCATTTCAGGTGACTACCTCTTGAAGCTCATGGAGAGAATGCCAAGAGTGTGCAAAGCAGTAATCAGAGCAAAGGGTGGCTATTTTGAAGAAACTAGAATATAAAACATGTTTTCAGTTATTTCACCTTTTTTTGTTAAGTACATAACTCCACATGTGTTCATTCATAGTTTTGATGCCTTCAGTGAGAATCTACAATGTAAATAGTCATGAAAATAAAGAAAACTCATTGAATGAGAAGGTGTGTCCAAACTTTTGGCCTGTACTGTATGTCAGGCACATATACTACGTGGTTAGGTTTAGAAAAAAGATCATGGTCTCCACTTCCTCCCACTGCACAAAAATGATGCCAAAATATCCCAGGTACGGCCAATACCATCTTGCCCTGGTGACGCCATGTAGAGCCAGAATCTGCACAGTCGCAATCTCCGTGGCATTGATTTCCCACCCATATACTTATCTAACCGATTGCGAGCAGTGGCAATGACCAATTTGCACACAGAGCTGTCAATTATGCTGTCAAACCTTGTTTTTATGGCATCAAATAAGTAATTCAAATCAGCTTATCAAACTTAACAGAAATACCAACACTTGACCATACAGCAGCATGATAACACCTACCTAAAATGACAGAAACCATCTTTGGGAAAAAATGTATTTGGCGTGTACTTTGATGTTTTATTTTTACCATTTCCCATCTGCTAACACAGAGGGGGCAGGCTTTATGACCTATACTGCAGCCAGCCACTTTGGGGCAATCAAGATGTTTTAGCTTTACTTTTAGGGGGCTGTCATGTCATCTATCTTTATTACATGATTAAAATAAGTACATTTGTTACGTTATGTAACAACTTGACGAACTTGTGCACACTGGTTAAAATAAGTCAGTAAAGTGCTCCACGGAAAACTTTTTTTTTTGTTTGTTTTTTTGTAGACCAACTCGGAAGTAAACATCACCCTGGTTCCCTCTTCAAAAAGCCTATGGGAGTTTATGATACTTACAATCGCCAAAAGTAAAAAGCTAATGTTTGTCATTTAGTCACTTATTAGCAACATGAAAGGGGTATTACTGACATATCTAATGGCGTAGAACAAAATATGACTTGACTATGACAAACTTGTGTTAACCACAGACCATATTTCAGGCATCTAACCAAAAAAAAAAACACATTGACTTTAATACACAAGAATCAGGAGTGAAAAAATGCTAACTCATTTTTTGGGTTTTAGGACTCCTGAGGCACTCTATTCTGACTTTTGGTTCCACGAAGGATGCTAACCCCAGTCGCCTGGGTGAAAGTCCTGTGTTTGTTTGACTCGTCCACCACCCCAACCTTACCACCCTGATCTCCTCTGTATGTGGACTTTCTCGCTCTTTATGCTCCGATCGTAATTACTGCAGCCACAAGAGGTTACGGCCATTTAATGAGCTGATAACGACCTTCTGAGCCTACTAGTAGATGTAGCAGGCACCATCTAACCTTTATTTATGAGTCTGATAACCACTAATAATGCCCATTCAATCGAGTGATAACAAAGCAGGTGTGGCAGCAGTTTTTTAAAAAAAAAAAGCTATCTTAGCGACTAGCTGGTGAACATACAGTGGAGCATTCAGCAGCTTAAAAGCCAGATGGCTCCTCAGGAGGTGGTAGAGACCAAAAACCAGGAGGAGAAGTAATATTAGACATTCATCAGGTGGACATTAACACCCCAAATGAATGATAATGTCGCTCCATATCTGCTGGATGCCTAAATGGGCAGCTGTTAATAAGCAAGTTTGCCATATAAACTCAAAAGGTGATAATTTGTCTTTTCCACTGCCCCCAAGTTAATGCACTATGCTAAGCTTTCACATGCTCTTATGGCCCAAATGTGACTTGCAAACCATAATGGTTGTGAAGTTATGAGGCAAGTAAGACTAGACTTCGTGGATGCCAACCGACCAAACCAAGTTTCCAAACATAGCGTTGCTGCCTTCAGTTCTTGTGTCAAATTTTAATTAAAAAAATGTCTCCAATGCAGTAAATCCCTGTGGTCAATTGTGGTTTGACAGTAGTCCAGCGGGGGTTAACATAGGACACAGATACACTGCAATTAGTGATTAGGTTTTAAAATATCCCCCCGGGAAAGTTCAGGATTTTACAGCTGTAAGATTTCAGACCTCAATTTATGGAATTTGGGTTTCAGGATCTGTAATTTTCCATGTGAAACTGTTAAAAGGCAAATATGAGGAATACCTCATCACTCTCCAGGGAGTTTTTCATGATCTGTCTCAGGGGAGTGCAGGGATGTAACTGGATTACATTTACACAAGACAGGAACTGACACAGATACTTGGAGTAATAGATGAAAACATACTTTGCTTTACAACACTAACATCAGTGCTTAACATTTAATGCATTCATTGATGACATCTTTACAATAAAGTTAGAAAAAGACAAACATGTAACGCATAGCAGTTGGTAACGAGAACCATGTGTGCCGTCCATCTCCTCACCCCAACCCCCCCGAATCTCCCCCCCATTTCCCATCTGTGCCCTTCAGGCCCTCACTTCAGTCACCTCCCACTTCCCTCTTCCTTCAGAACCCGTCTGTTTTTGTTTTCGAGCCCGGGCTCTCTGCACAGGAAATTGTATACATTGGGAGCATTCAGGAAGGCAGAGAGCAGCTTTCCCGTCAGCTCCAAGTTTGGGCACATGAAAAAAAAAATGGATAAAAGAGGCCAGTAATTCCTAAACCAGGAGAGAAACAGAAGTCAGCTGTTCTCCTCCCCTCACTTCACTTCCCTCCCCTTTACACAGACTCAACATTTCAAAAATCCCTGCCACACCACTGCCACGAGTCCATCTCTAAACTTAGAATATTCAAAAAATCTCAAAGTAGAAATCAGATTTAAAACAACTAATTTCCCTGAGGAGATTTGCCTCTCTTGATGTGCTTCCTCAGCTACAGAGAAGCCAGTGAAAAGGGGAGACTGTGTGGAATGAAGGAAAAGAGGAGGAGATAAAAAGGAGCAGAGACTGGCTGGGGGTAAAAAAACAACAGGAAACCAACCGATTCTAACGCTGTTTCTGCAAATCCTTCAGAGATAAAGCAGCCGACTGCCACGTCCTGGCCAAGCAGCAGTCACACCATGACTTTTCTTTGATCATCACTTCAATTTATGGCAATCTAAAGGACTTAAAGTTCAAAATGTGACGTCACTTCTGCTCTCAGCCTCCAACAGTGTGGTTAGTCAGAATGTGAGCGGATGCAGAGTTTTGGGAACTGATCGCTGGGATTTCTATGTGGCTGCTTTTTTGACCTACAAACTCAACCTCTCCTGGGGTCATATGGATCGATCGCTGTACCTCCAAGGATCTGTTTGTTTTAATCATCGGGACTACTAACTGGAGACACATGAAGAATAAAGGGACTAAGCAGAAGACCAAAAAGAAAGGAAGTGAAAATGCATTCGGCTGTGACCTGACAGAACATCTCCAGAATTCAGGACAAGATGGTAATCTTTTTGTAATTTGCTTTCTTTAAAATCTAACACTCCTTCACAATCAGCTATTATCAAACTACACACTATTTTTTTCATCAGTTACTTGACTCATACATAGAGGATATCATTTATACTGAAAATTTAGCTTTATTTGTCATTTTCTTGATTATTATGGCTATTATAACCCTTTACATACACATTACATGTCAAAATTAAGACATAAAGGACAAAAAGTGTCTTTATATATCAAATACAGGCTTTGTTCAAAGGTTACATATATGAATAGTAGATATACATGTGTTTTACATTAACTGTAGTAAGGCCATTCATTCACACACTGGCTATATTAAATGGTCATTTGTGACTTAGGGTGTGGCTCTTAACATTTTTTTGTGTTAATTTCCTACAGTGACTATACAGTAGCTCCTATGACTAGTTTTGTGTCTGACAAAAGACTGGGCGGTGCTTCTGCCTATGGATGAGAGAAAATAATGAGCCAAGAAAAAACAGAAGAGAAACAAAATGTATTATTAAATATTCAAATCTGTGGTCAGCTTATACCCCTTTTTCTTTATTCTGATCATATGTTCTTTTCCCAACAACCATCATTGTGATTTTGTCTTTGGGAGCACCATGACATGTCAAAAAAAAAAAAAAAAAAAAAAAAAAGTGAACAGAAATCTCCCACGTGCAGAGGCATATGAGTAACTGTGCTGAGGATAACTTTAAGGAAGACCTGTTAGAGTGGACACTGCAAGGCGGGGCATTCGGAGCAGGAAGTGAGGGAGGAGGTTTTGGTCATACCCCTCCTTCATGGATGTTCAGCAGACATATTGTGATTTTAGACTGTTAGTGCATCATGTTAGTGCTATTGAGAACTACTGGAAGCTCCTGACAAACTAACAGAGACACAAAGTAGATGTTAAAGGTCCTATTTATGAGATTTTGAACATTAATATAGCGGCAAACAACTATTTATCATGTAAAAACAGAGTGGAGTTGTGACATCCTGAGCAGAGAATTAAGTCAAACTCCTAATGAGTCTCTCCTAATACGGCAGTTACCACTGATAACGCCATTTCAACACACGGTGGCAGGACAGTGTTCCCACCGAAGTGTAATGCCCACCCTCTAGCTCCCCTCCAGGTTAACAGTTAGCCCCTTCAGCACTGTTGCCTGTGTTAGGATTGTTAGCACTGTTAATGCTAGCACTGCTAGCTGCCACCATTTCAGCTCAGGCTCAGCAACATCCATTAGTTACCAGCCAGCTGTCATATTGCTTTCAGACAGGCAACTCACATTACATCACCCACCAGAGGGAGCATTTATTGGTCCAGTACATTCTGGTAGTTGGAAGTTTTCTACCTCTTGAGCAAAAGTGAACGCCACAGCCATTTTTCTGTTTTCTCTGGTGACGTAGCACCAATTTCGAAAGTGTTTTTGTCTTTCTCCTCCATAGACTGTCTTTCGAGCAGTGAAATACTTCTTTAAGCATTGAAATAGATCCAATTTACGCATCACAACTGCACAGAAAATCAAGCAGCGTTACGTTGAATTAATTATTTTTACCCCACTTTTAACAAGTGACAATACAAGTTGGAAGCTTACACACTCCCAATCTCTTGGTATTTGTGAGAAGTCTCTAAAGAGAAAAAATACTTTTTAAATTTAACGTTTGTGAAATTAAACATTGGAATATCTTAAATAATCACGATAAATAGAGAGTGAGCAATAAAGACTTTAAGTTGGACGCAAAAAGGGTATGAGACTCATATCTCCTACCTCACACAGACAAGATGAATCATGGTTAAGTTAAGTTGTTTATAACATTTGGGACAATTTTATGCTGACATTGTGAAACTACAATAATTTCAGGGAAGCAACTCTAAATCAGCAGATACCCAAACATGCCATGGAGGAAAATATACAAACATAATCCTTCACTTGGCCAATTTTATAACACTGAACCTTTAAAGTCGACACACAACAATGTTACCAAAGAACATGTTTTATAAAACCTGACCAAAAGAAAGACTGCAGGGCTGTTGGGGTTTTTGTAAAGCCGACCACTGAGCAACAGCTCCGGTTTCAGTGTTTACTGGAACATTTAACATTATTACAGAAACAAATAACTTGCATCTGTTGACTCTGCGTGAGTTTTATTTTTACTTTAACTTTCCCCGCCACACACAGTGCATTGATTTACTTTCATGTGTCACTGTAAAGCATCTTTAAACTTCAGGCCAAACTGTATTTTGTAACCAGTCGACAAGAAGCAGAAATCTGTCCTCAGCGCAGAGAGCGAGAGGCACTAAATGACGGCTCCAGAGTTGTATTTGACCACAGGCATGTCACAGAGAAGTCCAATTAAGTCAAATAGATGAGAATGTAAATGGCAGATTCTTGGTGTCTGCGGCAATTACTGAGAAATGAACCATTGAGATGAATCTTTCATTTTGTGGGAGATTAATTTTGTTTGCAAGATGATCAGTTTTGTACTCAACAGTAAGAGATGTGTAGTTACAATAGAAAAAGTGTACAAAAGTCACTACCAATTGATCAAATAATTACTGGGACATTACTGAATAAATGTTTCGATGTGTTATGTATCTATACATACACATGTTATGCAATTCATTGTTCTTCAAATAGGCTGGTTGTCCTTTTCCTTAATAAGCCAAATATGCAGCTATAATTTGAATGAATACATAGACTGGAAGGAACACAACATGGGCCAGCAATTGTATCAGAGTAGCTGTTCCCCCCGCCCTGGCCACCCCTTGGCAACACCACTGTTTCCCTCTTCTTTACCAGTGTGTTTCTTCAATCACACTCTAAACATAACTACAGCCAAAAGACAGCTGGACTTAACTGTCTGTGTTTAAAAAAAGAAATCCAAATGCAATCAAAATTACAACACATACAGCTTCAGAATCAGCTGATCCAAGTTCCCTGATTTGTAATCAACTGTTAGTTTCAGTATTAGCTAAAGAGAAACTGTGGTCAGACTGAATCAGAGCATGTGATGTAGCTGCACAGTTAAATCTGTACAGAGTTCTTAAAAAACTGCAGGTAAACAGGCCTGTGTACAGAAAGTGATGTACTGGAGTTGAGAAAAGCAGTGCAGGTCAGTGGTAACATTTCAAAAGCCGTTTTCTATTAGAGGAAATGTCGTAAGTAATACCAGCTACAAGGACTGGGTGTGTCAACCTTCCTCTGAAACAAACAAACCATTTTTAACTTCCTGTCAAAGTCCACCTACAATCAGCGGCCCTAAGGAATAGAAAACAGACATGGTGGAACAAACCCCTTATATACCATGAAGTCACTTATGTGCATTGTTAGTGCTGACATGTTACATATACAGTTCATTCTCCTGCTTTTAACGATTAATGTGACCAGCAAGTATGACTAAAAGTATATGACTAACACAGTTTCTTTACTTCAGTTCCTCAGGTTCTGAAGAAGTGTGCAGAGTTTATTGAGGAGCATGGGATTGTGGACGGGATCTACAGACTGTCGGGGGTCACCTCAAATATCCAGCGTCTCAGGTACTCGTGCAACATGTACAGTAAAGTTTCTCAAAAACCTTGCGTCATAGAAATATTAGTCGTCAGATGATGAGACTTATGAGTGCAATACAAAGCAGTGTTTAAGCCTCATATTCTTTATGCTGGTGTATACATCCTGTTTGCTCCAGCTGTTCAGTAGAAATTCATGCCACTGTAACTCAAATATGATCTCAAATCACACCCATATAGTTAGCACTAGTCCAGCTACTTTTCTTGATCCCTGCAGGCTGAATAAATACCCATGGTTATCTCTAATTCACAGAATATTTTGCCACAGCAACATTAGTTGAATGGCTAGACCTCAATCTAACACACCAACGTACTGCAACAGAAGTTAGCAGGGGTGGTAACAATCAAAGCATTCAGCTAACTGTGTGTGCATGTTTTTCTCTGTGTGTGTGTGTGTGTGCAGGCAGGAATTCTGCTCTGAGGCGTGCCCTGACCTTACAAAGGAAGTGTACCTCCAGGACATCCACTGTGTGGGTTCCTTATGTAAGCTGTTCTTCAGGGAGCTACCCAATCCTCTGCTCACATATGAGCTATACAGCAAATTCACTGTGAGTACATTCGATTCACATTTACAGCGAGAAGAAAAAATATCCTGCGTGGCCTACAAGCGGTTTTACGGCAGAGTCATGCTTTACAAAGAATAATTAGTAACAGATAGAATGGCAACACCAACACCACACGTCAATAAGCAGCATTTATACCACAGGATCACTTAGTATATTTGTGTCAGCACTATAAAGAGCTTATTTATTATCATTTTCTCGAGTGTGACCTCACTTCTCTGGCTCACCGTTGATTGAACTGTTTTCATCTCTTCCCTGGAGAGTACAGTACCAATAGCAGATGTCAAGCGAACTGTAAGCAGAACATGCTGCAGTACGTAATTACATAAAAGTTTGATTTACTATCATTAATCATCTCTGTTATTAAAACTTTTGCTGCCCGTAATCATAAAAATATGTCCCTGCATATACTGTATGACACGACAGATTGTAAGAGACTGAGTTATGATCTGTTTTATGTTTTATGTGTGTGTTTTTTGTGGGAAAACAGGCTGGCCAGGCTGCTCTGGCAAGTAACAATTTGCTCTGATGCCCTGTGTGACTGAAGCTGGATTTGAAGATGAAAACATTTTGTTTCTGGCCCTTTAAAAGCCCCCAATCTTTAAGGGTTTTCAAATACCTTCAACTTTGCGTCATTCAGACAAGAATATACGTTTATCCTACTATGTTATTCCCTACAGAAATCTAATATAACTGAGTAAATGTTCTTCTGTTGGCCTAATGTTCAAGTCAGAGTATTAAAGACCCAGTTTCTTTGGCATTGTTGGGGAACACTGATTTGTAATTAGAACAGCCCAGATTATTGTAGCATAGATTCAAACTGTGAACTCTACTCCAGCATAGTTAACAACAATAGGTTTCAAGATTAATGCTGTTTACGCCAAATTACTACCCTACCTGTGTTATGGGACTTAAAAAGCACATCAGACAAGCTTTGCCTCTTTTTAGGTGGCAGGACATGGGGCTGTGATGTAGTTTCAGACTGATGAAGACAGTTGGAGAGCAATTCGATCCAAAATGTGTAGATATTTCCTCAAGAGGATGATGTTTTTTCCTTGGCAACTATTGTTTTTCCGAAATGATGTACAGATTTTTAGGCTTTCTATTATCTAAAATGGTTGGAAAATAGTGCATATAGCTGCTGTAAATGTCCCTAGACCCTCCCTAAGTTTGGGCTGAGCCCTGAGTGTTTAAAACATCTAGCTCCGCCCTTAGTAATGTTAGTAATAAACCAAGAGCAAAAAACATTAAAAGTACGCTATCCCGGAACTATTACAAATTTAACTGGCAACTTGTGTGGCCAAAATTTGGGTGACACAATCTCTACATTCAGTATGATAGTGAAGCTTTTGCTGGATGAACTGTAAATGTCAAAGAGACTTTTAGAGAGAAGCAGGAGAGGAGGAAAGTGTAAGACCTGGTTCATGCTTTCTGTGTAGCTTTTTGTGTACCCTGACAGTCATTAGCATACCTTGGCATTCATACATTTTATGCTGCTTGTGCCTGAAAACTCCAGTACTGCAGAGTTTCAGGAAAATATAGTTCCTCAGGTGGCATAATATGAAAAAGAAACACACACCAAAAACCAGTTTTCCTGCTCTCGCCAAGTTGTCTTGGGAGGGATGAACTCAGTCTTAACAACATGAGCATTGAGCAGAATGTGTAAATTGTTAAATAGGTTGATAGATAGATTATTGATGAGAACACCTGAGTGATCTGGGATTATGTTGACTGTTAGAATGTGACATGCAATTCTGGAGTTAATCTATGTTCTTAGGCTGTTACATATAATGGCACAAGACTGCTCAAGAGCATGTATTAATAACTACCCATGTTGATGACCTCACGCATGACTTACAAATGCAGCTAACATGCTCAGCAGTTTGGGCCACAATCACATTAGTTTGACTGCACGCATACCGGCACGTCTGTTTACATTTGTTCAGCAGGGATAACTGGGTTGGGAAGCTTGAGGGAAGCATGCAGGGTCATACACGTTCATCATCACATGACTTATTCTGACATGGACATCTGTCTGATTTGCATGCAGGAAGCGGTCACGGTCCAGGGGGATCATGAGAGACTTTTGCACATTCAGAGGGTCATCAAAGAACTGCCGACGCCTCACTTCAGGTGAACTTCAGCCCTTTTCACTCTCAGCAGTAAAGACAATCGTACAACTGTCTGTTCTGTTTGTCAGGGTTTACAGCTAATGTTTGACAAGAAACGTTTGTCAACTCTCCTCAGGACTCTGGAGTACCTTACTAAGCACTTGGCCCACCTTGCCACCTTAAGCACCAAGACAAACATGCATACACGTAACCTGGCACTGGTTTGGGCTCCAAATCTGTTAAGGTGGGGATTCTTTCCAGTCTAAATAAAGTTTTTGCTCCTTTAACTTCAGAGTATTCATACTAAAAGCTCTCATGGATTTCTGTTTTTGGAAAATGTGCATACATATATGTATTTTTTTTTCTTCTGAAATTCAAAGATTGTTTTCATCTCATTTTCTCAGATCTAAAGATATTGAGTCGTCATGTGGTAATGGAGACATGGCTTTCCAGGAGGTGCGGATACAGCAGTCAGTGGTTGAGTTTATTCTAAACCACACAGAGGAGATCTTCAGTGACTCTGCGCAAATCAAACCCAAAGAAGGTATGAATGCAAACAGATTATTTTGTGGGTGACTTATCCGGCATAAGGATTTGCTAATACACCACTGAAAAAACTGACTTCTTATACTTCCATAGGACCAAATTTGAAGTGTGGGGAGAAGTATGCCACACTACCGATCAGTGGCCAGTGTGGGCCAATGAAACTGATGAGCCTGGAAGAAGCACAGGCCCGCTCCTTAAGTCCAAACCATCCTGTGCATAGAGAACGCCAGCGAGAGAACAGTCTGCCTGATACCAGCACTGCCACGCTCTACCACACCGTCATAGACATATCAGACAGCAAGTATGAAAAATTTGGATTCAGTCCATTGAGAATGTTTGATGCATGTACGATAACTGTAACTGTTACTAGCTGTGGGATAGCACTGGGCATAACAATCTCTGTTTATCTGTCAGGAGGAAGTTTTCTGGGAAATCCAAGAAATGGAAGTCCATCTTCAATCTGGGACGGTCAGTGGACTCGAAGGGAAAACTGAGCCGGAATGGCAGCGTGTTCATAAGAGCACAGTCGACAGGTAAAATGTCTGACAATGATCAAACATATACATTTAAAGGAAAGGTCACTTGATGTATATGTGGTTCCTGCAGTCTAAAATAGTCTAGTGAACAATTAACTTCGCAAGCACACATCAGTAGAGCCCTACAGATAGTGGTAAGTTGTGAATGTGATTGACCAAGTACCGACCATGTAAGCTATAGAATGAGGAGTATAGATAAAGAACATATGTGTAGGACTATTATCAATAGCTTTATGATAATATGTTACACAGGTAGCTCAGAGGACACCACTATACTTTTTTCTTTTTAAAGAATTTTGTTTTTTGGACTTGAAATACTACATAGTGTTACATCTGCTTGTAGAATTTATTCAGATGAAACAATCTAGTTTGGTTGAACAAAAAAAATTAAATTGAGTTGCAACTTTCATTTTTTTTACACTCTTCAAATACTTAAAATGTTTTGTGAAAGTGTGTTAAAATTATGTTTTTCCAACAGAAAAGGCAGCTCTTCGGCCATCCAGGAGCATGGAGTCCTTGTGCTCCTTACCAACAGGTGGGACTTAAACCTACATATATCTATGTAAACACAAAACTTAATTTTGCAAACTACAAATGTTGCTATGAAATGGTGTTGCATCTATGACAGATATTTCCTTACAATTTTGCTTTATTACTTGTGTTATTTTTACTGTACAGATGATGACACCACAGGAAACAACAGTCCAGCTGGTGGCAGTTATGTTCCAGATGTAAAATCCAGAACGCTGGGATCAGACTCGCTCTATGACCTGAGTGAACACGACCAAAACTGGGAGTTTAAAGGGACGAAAGCTGACGGGGCAACAGGTGGCTGGAGCTCTAGCATGAACCAAAAGAGGTCGCCAAGTGCTTCTGCGCCCCCTCAAAAAACACTGCCAGAGCAACTGAAGGTGTACAAAGGTGACGACGTCAGCGGCTACAAGCCCACCTCTCCGAAAAACAGGAGGATGTTGTACTCAGGCTCCTCCCACAACAGCTCCTCTCGGCCCTCCTTCCCGGGAAGCTTCTTCCCGTTGGAGTCTTCGCCGAGGCATCAGCGCAGAGCCGTCAACATATCTGAGCCTTTTGCTGTATCCGTACCCCTACGTGTTTCAGCCGTTATCAGCTCTAACAGCACGCCATGCAGGACCCACGCCAAGGAAAAAGCAGCTTCTCTAAAACCCAGTAAAGAGAGCTCAGAGCCGACCAGCAGCATTAAAAAGAGCAACACTTTCCCCCAACTGGAATCTAAGAAGCAGGAAGGAACAGAGAAGAAAAACATGGAGTTGACCTTGAGAGTCCCTCCAGAGGGTGAGGACTTCTTCCTTTATCTCACTTTTAAAATGGCTTGTCACGTTATAAAAGTCGTGATAGGATGTCATAAAAAAAAACAACCTTTTTTTTTATTCAGATGCAAGCAAAGAAGTGGTGCAAGAAAGTCAAGGAGGGATGAATACTTCTGAACTGGAACCAGCGTTTCTTGCAAGTGCAAGAGAAGGCAAAGATGCAGTGCCATCTCCTGGGAAAGAAGTGCACAACCAGCAGATAACTATGCGACTGGTAAATCATGTAGTTGTGGTTCCACTTCAGCAGCGTTGCAAATGCCATCTTTCATCTGAGCTTAAGTGTTCTGTTGATTTTATCATCAAAAGAAGTTTCTCAAGATAAAAGGCTAAAAATATTTCAATCAAAATGTAAACTTCAGCAAATCAAACACCATGTGCTATCGGTATTTGTCTAATTGTTAGCACCCTCAGATTAATCATTGGTCCATCCAATACTCAGGTCAATACCGAGTCAAGTCAAATTTTGTCACATAACTGGAATTTAATTATCGGAGTCTCTATATATCCCTGCTTCAAAGTAAGAGAGGAAGCACTTGTTTGCACTATTTGAGTTACAATCCTCTGCACAAGTCTGTGTAAGTAGCAGACATAAAGAAGTCCCCATTACTGTGGCGGTGTCTCACTTCGCATTTGAATACAAGCTTTCCTAAGAGGCAAACAGTTTCCTAGTTTGACCTTACTTTCTATGTGACATCACTTTAGACAACAATGTCTATGAGTTTGGGAAGAATCTGTACAGCTCTCAGCTGCTTCAACAGCAGTGTCAAACCTAAACTTCAGCTAAGTTAACACTGCTTAGCTAGCTAGCTGCCCCACAGAATACATCAAGTCAATCAACTAACTGTGGTGTTACTGTGAAATATAATGTTAGGTGCTCTAACTAAAACAACATAAAGACCACAAAGTAACCATGATGTGGTCTGCATCACAAACAGAACATAGACAATGGTGTCTGGGTATCGGTTTGATGAGTGCCCATGTTAGCTGGATACTCTCAGCTAAATGCGTCGTGGGTGATTGTAGTGAACGCAGCTGTTGAAAACATGAACAGATTGCATAGGGGTCCTTGTAAAAGCCTTCAGTTTTACTTCTTGCTAAGTTACTATGAGCCATCACAGACACATTCACCTGAAAGTCACCAATTTACACAGTCACTCGTTAAACTAAAGCAACAGCAGCGCTACATTTAGTAGAAGTGACTTTTTTAGCCGTGGCAGAGATTCAAAATGTTTACACATTATGCCAAAGTTCGTCAGTTATTAACTGAATTAATTTAGATAATTGACAGTCTTCAGTGCTGTCACTGTCGGCAGCAGACACCAAGTACCGACATCTTGTCACTGCAGCAATGGCAGCAGCACTGGATGGATGGATTTCTTGTGAGCGACAAATACTGCTCAGATGTTTTGCCCTCATATCTTTGACTTGAACCAGCACATAAGGGTGATTATTATAATGAATGAGAAATGGTTGTGTATAATCTGTGTTTTTGTTTGTTTACCATATCTACAGGACAAGGGATCTTTGACTGAGAAAGATCTGTGGCCTGACCTCCACCAAGAACTGAAGATAACTGAACCTGAAATTGACCTGCTGGATGAGACTTTTAAACCTGTTTTTGGCTCCAAGAGCACCTGTGAGGGCATGAAGTTAACGATGGATGTTAAGTCAAAACGAAGCCACAGCTCTCCGTCTCTGTCGTTGTTATTCAGGGAGCAGTCTTCAAATACCTCTCTGAGTGATCGTGTAATCGCCACTGGATCGGACTCTGCAAAGAAACAACCCTCGGAGTCGGACATCTTATTTTCTCTTCACAAAAGCACAGAAAACATGCGTCCTGCTGACATGCTGGATGTGAAGGAGAAGAATCTGCATGTAAATATCACACCTTCAAACAAAGATGACACCAAACAGAGCCAGCCTCCTTTAAAGGAAACCTGCATCGATGAAACCATGAATCCTTTCACAATAGAAGATACTCCAATGGCTGTCGGCTTCTCAGCAGCAGAGGATACTAACAAAAAAACAGGGAACCAGGAGGTTGCTCAAGGAGATGAAAGCATCACCTGTGACAAAGCAAAGACGAATCTGATTCCTGAGGAGGAGGTTATTCAGAGGCTGTCGGTGTGTTTGGAGGAGAGGCAGAACACCTTGGAGCTGCCACACCTCGACTATGATGAAGGGAGTGGAGGAAATTCAGAGGAGCTGGACTTGGTGGAGCCTTGGGAGGATTTCAGCTCCAGCAAGCAGTGGGTTACCAGTCCTCTTCACTCACCTGATGTGGAGGAGTTGTTTAACCAGCTCTCACCCTTCAGCTCTCGTGGGGAAACTCCAATTTCATCTCCATCAGTGGATAACAACAAACAGTCTCTCATCAAGAGCACTGAACACTCCTCAGGCAACATTCCTCACACTACCACTGGCAAACCAGAAACTAAATATACATATTTGCCATCAGGGGTGAACAGCAGTAACACAACACAACCTCACACAGGGAAATGCAACACAACAAAACAGAAGAACACAGTGTCATCTCAGAGGTTTTATAGACAGATGTCTTTGGAGGCAGAGAGAAGAGAGGAGAACTTCTTTTCGAAACATAGACCATATTCACTTAATTTAGACCTGGGACATCGATGCATCAGAGACATTTCTAATCAGCAAAACCGTAAGTCACCAGAGCTTTCGTCTTCTCAGAGAGGATTACTGACATCCTCTGAATCTGTACACAGCAGGCTGCCCTCAGAGCTCGAGCTGTTTCTGAGTGATCGCCAGGCGCCTCTACGCCGAAACTCTGCCCCAGTCAGTGTGTCATCGGTGCGAACAGCCTTCATGATAAAAACATGCCAGGCCAAAGCTGTGCCTGTCGTCCCTCCGAAGGTGCAGTACAGTCAGATACCTCCCTCCAGACACGAGAAGGACTCTGATGCAGCAAAGGAACAAGAAAAGGAACATCCTAAAATGCCTGCAGAGAAAAGCTACTCTGCACCTCCTCCCATGATGTCAGATCTATAGGAGGAGCTGGAGAATAAAGAGCCTGCACCCAAACATCAAAAACACCCACATGTTGCTGAGTCTGCGAAGACCACATCTACGCCAGAGCTGCCAGTCATCACAAGGAGACACGCGCCCAGTCTGGAAGTGTTTGTAGATTGTCCCAGACCTAACAGAGGGAACCTCTTACAAAGACCATCCTTTAGGAACAGGCAGAGGCCTCAAAGTCTCATCCTGCTCAGCCCTCCTTTTCCCATCATGGACTATCCTCCGTCAGGAGACGACGGCAAACTCCTCTCATCCATCAAGAGCCTTAACGACACGTCTGCAGTGAATGTTTTTTCTAAAGAGATGGCAGAGAATTTCAGAACGACGGAGGGGATCGCTCTTCAAAACAAAATGACTATTCCAAAAAGTGGACAGAGACTGGAAACATCAACCAGCTGCTTCTACCAGCCGCAGAGGAGGTCGATGATATTTGACAGCAGGAGCCACAGACAGATTGAGTGACTAGAGGTGCAGTCTCTGACCATGAGACTGATTGTATGTAAATAGATAGGAAGGAGAATAGGAAGCCATGATGTATGTGAAAGGCATTTAAAGGGGATCTATTATGCTTTTTTTTCTTATTTTCTTACAAATATAAATGTAACAATATCAGACGTTCATATTAAATGTGGCCAAAATTTCAAATAATGAGGTCAAAATATGTAAAAGTAATCTCTGTGAGCAAAACCCTCAGGCTTCAGACCATTCTAATGACTTTGTTTCCAATGTTTTTTTACTACTTTAGCTCCAAGCTGACGTCAGCTCGTGACAGGTTTCTTTATATGACCATCTGCTCCAGGCACACTACTGCAAGTGTTTACATTATGTAGCCTACACTGCTACATGTAGCTACATGCTAGTATCAGGAAAACATGGTACCTTGGTTGCCATTGTTGTTAATTTCTCCCCCGTTACGAATCATATTTAACATGTCCGGCTGTGCAGACTTTGGTTTAGAAGGTTTTATTGGGGATTTTTCACAGTAGAAAGTGCAGCTATACTTCATTACATTCATTCCCTGGCAGAGACACTGAGATACAGAAGACTTGGAAACACTAACCAATCAAAGCAGACGCTAAAACGGAGTGTCTCAGACAGAGGATGACGAAAGGTGTTGCACCACAGACAGAATGAGGAAAATACAGTGTTTTCTGAAAATGAAAGCATGTAAACATATTCTAGTAGAAACCCAAAATACAAGTATGAACTTGAAAATGAGTGCAATACATCCCCTTTAAGTTTGACTGAGATCAAGGGCCGCAACTAATGAGTATTTTCACTATCCATTAATCTGCTGGTTATTTTGTTGATTAGTTGATTAATGGTTTGGTCTATAAAATATCAGAAAATAGTAAAAAAATAAAATAAAATAAAATAAAAATCTACTTTTCAACTAGCTGATCCTGTCACAATAATGGTCCAAAACCCAAACATTTTCAGTTAATTATAAATAAAGCCCTTTTCCCCCCCCTTTTTTTTAGTCATCTTACTAGCTGTTATCCAGGGGGTTTCAACCACATCTCACAGTCTTTGAGAGGTCTAAGAGGGTGGAGTTTATTCGGTTGTCATGGTGATAGCTAATCTGCCAAGGAAGACTGTGAGATGTAGTTGAGATCTCCACAAAAAGCTTGTAAGTGGACCTTAAATTGAGTGTTTCTAATTCATAAGGATTAGTTGTTTAAGGAAAAAGGCCACCAGGTTTCTAATGAACACCAAACAATTTGTGGTGGTCATCAGAAATGTGGACAAAAACTTCCTGATGTCAGTTGTGGGACTTCATAAATATATATATTTTTTTATGTCTCCACAATATTTCAATCAACTGGACTCTACTGTGGCACCCTCAGCTGTCAAAGAATCAGACTGAACCATGTTCAACCAGCAAACACATTCCATGTGTGTCCACCGTGTTATGACACATAGGTATAGGTAGATAATTTGAATTTAATGACATATCAACCATCTATTCTGTATCAGATTATGACATCTTCACGTAAATGATCATTTCTGAACTGAATTTGGCCTCAAACATGAAGGGCTCTGAATACAGGAGGTGTGCGGTAAAAGGTAACAGTAAATGGTAAACTGAAGGACCGATGATGAAACTGTTAAACAGTTTAACAGCCATGAATCTGATCATGCAGATTAAGATTTATTTATTCCTGTATTAACATACATGATATGAAGTAAACTTGATACTTGTATACTGTATGTAGCTGTTGGCTCCGTGATAAGCTGATGTCAATGTGATTTTTTTAAAGACTAATATTTAAAAGGAAATTCTTTTTTCTGATTTAAATATATCGCAAACTTAATTGATAGTATTTACCCACAGAGGAACTTTAATTCATGTGTATCTTTGTTTTCTGGAAGTGCTTTGTATGTTTGTGAACATCTTTATTGTTGTTCGACAAGAACCAGCATTGTGGACTCTGGAGGACTTGCAGGACTTTGTGCACGCTGACTGTATTCCATGTGTTTGAGTCAAAGTCAGATGATGGTATCTCCAGGTTTTTGTTTCTTTTCTTTGCATTTAAAAAACACGGGATCAGATGTATTTAGCTTTAGTGCTCGTGAGCGTATCATAGTTTGGATGTCAAAGGAGGTTACAGTATATTTTTTAAAGATGTTATTAAGGTCACAGTGTTTTTATACTGTAGTTTGGATGGACTGGATGAATGATTACAGTGTTTTATTCAAAAAAAATATTTGAGAAATGAGATTTTTGTTATTTGTTTTTGTAACTTTTGTATACTTGTTGATACTGAAAATGACTGACTGAAGCGTCTGTGTTCATAGCCTAAACAACTGAAGTGAGAATTTTGAGATAGAAGTTTTGCCTTAATTATCTGATGGCAGCACCTGATGTAATGTACATAAGACACTTGATGAGTTTTGTTACAACCGAAAAGTTATGAGAATAAAAAGCTCTGGAAATCACAGGAGTCAGTGGTTCTGCAACATGTGGCTTTCATCAAAAGACAGAGTGACAATCCAACTCACCAATTAATAAAAAAGAGGTTTTAATTTGTGAAATGCTCCCTGAGGTCTCCCCTTTGACAAACAGATGTTTAGCAGTTTTTCTGACTACTGTGGGTATTTATACACAGGATTAAACGTCATCTGAGCAGACAAGGATGGGTGGCAATCATTACAACACCAGGTATCAGGCGTCATCAGAGTCATTTTAAATTAAAACTACACTAATGACATCTCTAAATTACGTGGTAGTCAGTGTGACAGATCACTCAGAGACGAGAAAACCACAAAGATCCCATCAGATTTGAGCTTTGTTATTGGCTGCAGTGTTTTTGTGAAGTGAAGGACATGTTTGGCAATTTTGTGAAACAGTATTTACCGTAAAACTTCAATTAATAGCCCAAGCTATTATTTATTTAAATCACTGAAAGCAGGCTTATATCTAGGACAGGCATCTATATGAGACAGACTTTTAATTCCTTTCATACAAAAGTGCAGCACTGCAAAAATCATAAAAGTTTAAACATTTATATTTATATGCGCAGTCTAAGCAGCTAACCAACATTAGCTTTAGCAGGTAGCAAACAGTCCACTTTTATACATCCGAAGAAGTTTTATAACGATGAACTGCTTGGCAACCAGACCAGGCCTCTAATTGAGACAGGCGTTTAATTGTCAAAATGTGTAGCTACACCCAGATAGTAAAAGGGACTGGGTGTTTAGGCAGGACTAAGCTTTTAATTGAGGTTTTACAGTATACTGTACAATAGGAAGGACTCAAGTTAATAAGTTTCCACGAGTCATTTGTCTTTTCTTTCTCTAGTCCAATCTTTGCTTAAGCACTTATTTTAGGCAAGGCCGTTGCCATGGAGTCAATGCTAGGGGACCAAATCTGCAGGGGTGGGTCCCGTGCTAATGCATATAATGTACCTATGCTAGCTAACTAACGTTCTGGCGTTAATTTGCATAACAATTAAATAAAAATAACCATTTATAAAATTATTATTTTCATAACACTATATAAAAGCTAACACAACTGACGGTAATACAGTGTAAGTAACACTCACATTACATTCTTGTTTTGCCCTTTTCAATAAATTTGAAAGTAGTGAAATAGACAGTGTAGTGTTTCATTGTACCACCCCACAGCAGTCGAGCAACAGCTTCTGCTTGGATACAGCAGTGCACCATAATACCAGAACAGAACATTTTGAATATTGGGCTGAGTATTGCCTTAATTTCAGGTATTGAGCTTTGGAAAAATTGTCTCACATGCTTTACATGTTCAAAGATGCTGTCCAAATAGTGCCAAAGTGACTGTCTGTTTGTTTGTCCAAAAGTTAAAAACAACTTGTAATATCACATGCTAAATTTCACATCTTAGTTTTAGATGGAAATACTTTTATTTTCTGGAGAGCTTCATAACTTCAATAGAGTCCTTCAGAAAGCACTGAGAGGAGTAATATAAAAGAGGCTGTGGTGTTTCTGTGTGAATGAGGAGTATTCAAGGGGCCCCTGGGGCCCTTTGGAGATCAGATGTTTGTGTACACCCAGTTACATACTGTGTTTGGGACCTCTTGCAGCTTTTTTTATTCCTATCTAGGGGATTTTAATGTATAAAAATGACACTGTAGGCTGCAGTGAAAATGTTGCTTTAACTACTAATAATACGGTTGTGTTTTGGTTAAACTCCCCACTGCAGGGTTGTGCAGTTCTTGTTACGCAACAAGCTCTGGTTTTGCCGCCAGATGGCGCTCCTGCTCCACACTGCACATCTGAGCGAGCCGCTGAACTGCGGGACAAACACACTGAAAGTCTGTGCTTCAGGTACATTCAGTGCTCCGACGAATCAACATGCACTGTGCCCTAGTAGGGACAGTTTCTTTCTCTACCCTCGCTCTGTGAGCCGTGGCCCAAATATGGTTTGCGTATATGTGTGTGCTTCACCAGAGAACTTGCACTTGCCTCTGTGTCGAGCTTTTCAATAGAAATTCTTACTTTAAACTGCGTGATTTCATATCGCAAAAACGCAGTAAAGTCTGATCACTGTCACAGTACAGAGCGATCAACTGCGTGTCACAAATGTGCTGTTTGTAAAAATACAAAGCACCAAACAGTAGCACGGTGCAGGAGGTTACATGCAGAAGGGCTCACGCGTCATGATGCACAAGTGTTTTAAATAAAAATACAGAGTGGGGGAAATGGTACCAGAAAAAACTCTGTGTATATTTATTTGTATTACATATGCTTTTAAATGATACAGTCTTAAGAAATGTTATTTATTTTATAATGTCTGTTACCTCGGTGACAATATAGGCCTCGAATTCCCAGTCTGATATTCATGTCCACATGTGGACTGACTGAAGGTGACAGTAATCAAATGACAGTGAGGGAAAAAGAAGTCCACTGTAATTTTATCCAAATGTCACATCAAATATTTTGACCAAAACCCCTATTCAGGAGCAGTCACTTTGGAGCAGCGCTGGCGCTCGCAGAGGTCACTTCCATGTCTGCTCAGTTCATTATTTCTCGACCTTTGACACTGCTTGTGTATGGGCCGAGAATTAAAAAGGCGTATTCTCAAGCACACTGAGGAAAAAAAGGCAAGCAGAGCACGGTGCGCGCGTTGAATATTCAATTAGAGGGGGGGAAAGTGAGGAAAAAGTGAATCTGCGTGCCAGTCCTTCATCTTACATTACTGATTAGCTGTTAAACAGATTATATACAGCTGAATGGGTTCAAATGTTGCAGCAGAAACAGTCGGAGTTCAAGGCGACGCCGAGCGGTTTCCTTCCCCTCCACTTCAGCAGGCTCAACAGACTTTGTTTTCACAGTAGCTCCATAATGAAACGTGTTGATGCTCCATTTTTAACAGTCATTTAAAAAACAACACATGGAGAGCAACTGAAAATGTTCAGCCAGACGAGTTGTCTGGATGATGTAGGCTACCAAAAAGAAGAAAATACCCATTACACACACTATGTACATGATTCTTTTTATCTGACTTTAGCTGTTCATAAATAAATAAAATCTATGACATTTTCAATTGATGCAGAAACAAACTCACAATTATATGTGTATTTTTCCTATTTCTTTCCAGTAGACTATTTATTGGCCAAAACGCACAAAATAAAAACGCCACCAAACACCATAGAGTGATGAAATATGAAGATAAAACTGTATTAAATTGTTAAATGCTTGTTAAAAAAATATCCACTTGAAAATAGTTTCCCTTCTTCCAACAATAACTCAGTCCTCCACATTTACAAGCGAGGCTGGAAGCCTGGAGCAGCAGGCATTTGTCCTTTAAAAACGAGTAAACAAACAAGTTACAAATGTACTGAAGTGTTTAAAAGTTTATAAAGTATTTTGTTAAAGTTTGTAGGTTAACGTGTTAAGTTTACTACACACATTTACTAAGCTGGATAAGTTTAAAGTAGTTGAATGTGCAGTGCCTCAGCAAGCCACGCGGGTCCAAAAGAGCTCTCATTGAGAAGCCACGTGTCCGTTTCCAAAGCCTCTCCAACTTAACCACCTCCTTTGTACGACTAACCCACATCGGCAGCGTCCCTCCACATAAAGGGATTTGCAATTTCAAGATATTTCAGCTTAAATGTTTTTGACAGTTCCCTCGCTTTTACCTCGGCTTGGTTATTTTAACTGTGCCAAATGGGTCACCTTGGGTTGCTGTCTGCGCGCAAAGGGCTTTTGCGCGCATTCAGTCTGAATTTTTTCCAACTTTCCTTGACGGGGAAACCAGCTGCTGGTCGTGAAAAGACGGCTTATTAATTGTCCTTTGTCATGCAGAATTGCTTGATTTCTAAAGAAACGTACAAAGGCTCTTTTTCAGGATTCAAGTATTTTGTTTCGTGCGTATTTTCAAACCATCGAATCAGCTGCAGCGCCGCGCCGTCTACCAGACTCTCAGGTACTGACTGCCTGCTCCCTTTGTCCCCTTTTAATGCTGTTGTAAATCGTGCAGACTGATTTGTTACAAGCTGTTCTTTTAATCTGATAGATAAGAGACATGTCAAAGAAAAGCCGTAAATAAAAAATTAGCCAGAATAAAGACAAGGGCGAGTCTGCTAGATGGGCGCCTGTTGACTCAAGCGGCTCTCCAGCGTCAGGGGAGCCCTCTCCTCAGCTCCGTCAAGGTTACGTCCACAATTCCCTTTTCTTCTTTTTAAAAAGACACCGTAGTCCTTTTTGCTTCAATGAATTGATCGGCACAAAATTAAGAATAAATAAATTGAGCATTTGGAGCACCGAGCGTATAAGCTCCCCCAGGGCGCATACCCCCGGGCTATTGAATGGATAAAGGGCGCTTTGCAGAGGACGTTGTGAGCAAAATGGGGCTCTATGGTGCAATTAACAAAATAGTCTAATCCCATATCTTAACAAATGCAAATATTTGAGTTTTGTTAAAATGGTTAAGTGAACAATTAAATGAAAGTTTACAAGTGAAACTTCACATCCAAAAGAGGCACAGCGATGCAGATAATGTGCTGTACGCAATTTAAGACTTTTTACTCCCTTTTAAAAAGTATAGAGATACGTTTCCAAGGAAGCAAATACAATTTAAAGCCTATTCAACTTAATAAATTTAATATTGAGAACCAAAGCTTCAGTCAGAGAGCAGCTGTAGCGGTGCGTAAAATAGGCGAACAAAACTGGAACCATACGCTGAACTCCTGGTTTGGTCTTTTTGAAGATGTTATAGTGATCAGATCTAATATTTTTTTAACATGAATAAAAATATACATATTCACTCTTTTAAGACTTATTTAACCAAAATAGCCAGCAGAAGTCTTCTCCCTTAAAGAGTGGATTTATTTTTCAGGATGCTGCATGTTATTCGACTTGGCACATTATTTCATTTTGTAGATTTTAATAAATTTGCCATAAAAATCCTATTATATGCTAATTAATTATAATGTTTCTTATCTAAGGATCATATTAGC